TCCCGCCCCATGGCTCCCATGGCACCCTCTCAGCTGACTTTAAAGGGTCTCCGCCGCCTCTGCCCTTCCTTTACCCCCCCATGGCCTCATGGCCCCATGCCTCTCACCCTTAATGGCTCATGCCATGGCTTCACGGCTTTGGACCCTATCAGGGTCCCAGTGCCTGCCCGCCCTCTCCGCCCTCCCCGCCCCCTCCGCCCTTTCCGCCCCCTCCGTCCTTCCCGCTCCGCCCCATCCGCCCTTCCCGCTCCATGGCGCTCCATATGGTTCCCGCCCCCTCCGCCCTTCCCGCCCCATGGCGCTCCATGGCTTCTCCCACGCCTCACGTCTGGACCTTTTCATCCGCCTTCTCCGCTGCCTCTGCCCTTCCTAATGGCTCATGGCCCCATGGCTCCCATGGCACCCTCTCAGCTGACTTTAAAGGGTCCCTGGACCTTTTCCTCCGCCTTCTCCGCCGCCTCTGCCCTTCCTTTACCCCCCCATGGCCTCATGGCCCCATGCCTCTCACCCTTTATGGCTCATGCCATGGCTTCACGGCTTTGGACCCTATCAGCTGACTTTAAAGGGTCCCAGTGCCTACCCGCCCTCTCCGCCCTCCCCGCCCCCTCCGCCCTTTCCGCCCCCTCCGCCCTTCCCGCTCCGCCCCATCCGCCCTTCCCGCTCCATGGCGCTCCATATGGGTTCCCGCCCCCTCCGCCCTTCCCGCCCCATGGCGCTCCATGGCTTCTCCCACACCTCACGTCTGGACCTTTTCATCCGCCTTCTCCGCCGCCTCTGCCCTTCCTAATGGCTCATGGCCCCATGGCTCCATGGTCCCATCCCGCCCCATGGCTCCCATGGCTTCACGGCTTTGGATATCAGCTGACTTTAAAGGGTCCCAGTGCATGCCCGCCCTCTCCGCCCTCCCCGCCCCCTCCGCTCTTTCCGCCCTTTCCGCTCCCTCCGCCCTTCCCGCTCCATGGCGCTCCATGGCTCCATGGTCCCATGGCCCCATGGTCCCATCCCGCCCGGCTTCAGACCTTATCATCCGCCTTCTCCGCCGCCTCTGCCCCTTTGCCCCCCATGACCTCATGGCCCCATGCCTCTCACCCTCAATGGCTCATGGCCCCATGGCTCCATGGTCCCATCCCGCCCCATGGCTCCCATGGCACCCTCTCAGCTGACTTTAAAGGCTCCCAGTGCATGCCCGCCCTCTCCGCCCCGCCCTTTCCGCCTTCTCCGCCGCCTCTGCCCTTCCTTTACCCCCCCATGGCCTCATGGCCCCATGCCTCTCACCCTTAATGGCTCATGCCATGGCTTCACGGCTTTGGACCCTATCAGCTGACTTTAAAGGGTCCCAGTGCCTGCCCGCCCTCTCTGCCCTCCCCGCCCCCTCCGCCCTTTCCGCCCCCTCCGCCCTTCCCGCTCCGCCCCATCTGCCCTTCCCGCTCCATGGCGCTCCATATGGTTCCCGCCCCCTCCGCCCTTCCCGCCCCATGGCGCTCCATGGCTTCTCCCACGCCTCACGTCTGGACCTTTTCATCCGCCTTCTCCGCCGCCTCTGCCCTTCCTAATGGCTCATGGCCCCATGGCTCCATGGTCCCATCCCGCCCCATGGCTCCCATGGCTTCACGGCTTTGGACCCTATCAGCTGACTTTAAAGGGTCCCAGTGCATGCCCGCCCTCTCCGCCCTCCCCGCCCCCTCCGCTCTTTCCGCCCTTTCCGCCCCCTCCGCCCTTCCCGCTCCATGGCGCTCCATGGCTCCATGGTCCCATGGCCCCATGGTCCCATCCCGGCTTCAGACCTTATCATCCGCCTTCTCCGCCGCCTCTGCCCTTCCTTTGCCCCCCCATGACCTCATGGCCCCATGCCTCTCACCCTCAATGGCTCATGGCCCCATGGCTCCATGGTCCCATCCCGCCCCATGGCTCCCATGGCACCCTCTCAGCTGACTTTAAAGGGTCCCAGTGCATGCCCGCCCTCTCCACCCTCCCCGCCCCTCCGCCCTTTCCGCCCAGCAGACATGGAACGACTATAGACCTTCGATTGCCGAGACTATCTCGGAAATAAGTTGCCAAAAATGGCACAAATAGGTGACCAATAGGAAAGACAAGAAATGAAGACGAGGCGGAAGCATATTTTTCCTCCTACAAATTTGTAAAACTTGCGAAACAATTACCTAAACAATCAGACTGTCGGACACCCTGCGAAGCGAGAATGCTGGGCTCGTTTTCCTGGGCTTGTTTTTTTGTTCTATATTTTTCCCTCTTTCTCCTTGGAAAAATACCATCAAGAAAAATACACGAAAACCTCAGCTACGGACAGCATGGCTCGTTTTCCTGGGTTTGCCTTTTGCCCTACTTTTTCTCAGAAAACTAACAAAAAAAGGTTAACTTTGGCGATGCCTTGTTCCAGTTTCTTTAGCAACCCCCCAAACCCTTAAACCGCGGCACCCGATTGAGCCCTAAACCCTATAGCGACCAGACGGTCGACGTCAAAACCACAAGCGACCAAACGGTCGACGTGACCCCTAAACCCTGAACCCTAAACCCTGAGCCCTGAACCCTAAACCCTCAACCCTCAACCCTAAGCGACCAGACAGTCGACTTTAAAACCCGACGCGACCAGACGGTCGACTCAACCCTATACCCTGAGCCCTAAACCCTAAACCCTACACGACCAGACGGTCGACTCAACCCTATGCCCTGAGCCCTAAACCCTAAACCCTTAACCCCGTGCCGCTTTGGGGTCGGCGGCACTGGCGGTAGCCATTAAATATGTCTAAACGGTGATACCATGGCCGCAAGTACTAGCACCAGAAGAGTGAGAACACCTCCACAATGTGCTACCGGTAGGCACAAGCACGTTACTTCAGATGGCGCTGCAAAGGCACAAAGAAGGAAATCAACGCCTGGGGCGGGCACGCGAGAGCTCCCGGGCAGCACTTCCGTATTTACCTTGCTGTTTGATCAGGAAGATGTTGCTACACATATCACACCATAGAAGTCAGTGCACTAAGGGGGGAAACTACCAACCTGAAATGGGCCGAGTCTTTCCTTCCTCCAGCCACAATTCTCGGGGCTTGCCTCTAGGCTTCCAACACTTGCCGACAGACAAAACTTACATCTCGTGCAAACTCAATCATGTAGCCCTTTTCACTTTGGGAAGAAGACTTGTTCGGGCCCACAGTTGACTTCGCTCTCGGGTGCCTTGTGGGCACAGCCGTGCACGGAGCGCCAGGCTTCCCGGCGAAGTGCCTCTCCCAACCCGCGCTTGAAAAGTGGCAGGACGTCAGCGGCTGAGACTTGTTTATGCGTGGAACTGTGTCTGTTAGCACAGGTGGAACCAACTTCCCTGAATCGCATCAGCAATTCTAGCCGTTCTCTCACGCGGCTTTGAGAGGATTGGGCCACTTGACCTCGGATGATTTCTGAGTTCCCGACTTGGCTCACAGGGGATACCATTCCTTCGCTGCCCAAATCTAACCCAGACTCTATCCCAAACTACCTGTGCTGCTCTTGTTGCTCTGCTTGGGAAGCTCCCCACCCACAATGGAATTGCAAATGCCCAGCAAATATCCAGCTCCAGAAAGACAAACACAGCTCCAAGTTTCAGCCGAGGAGCAAATCACCCAGTGTAACGGCCATGCCCTTTGCGTTGTGCACACAGCCACCTGACCAGCCCGGGGCGTTCTAAATTTTAGATATCTTTGTAAAAAGCGCCAGACTCGATCGACCCCCATGTAATGCTCAGCATCATGTCATGTCGGACAGCCGAAAGTGCTGTGGAAGGCATTGGACGGCGACCTTGTTTTTTGTTTGCGAAGGCCAAGGCTGACAAAGAGAGCCGCCTCCGCAGCCGTGCGGTGATGACTCAGGGCTTCGACCACGGCTGCGGACAAGGGTGCCTGAGACACACACACACACACACACACACAGAGACATACGGGAACAAGCAGTTGCCTGTGCTATCCTGTGCTGGGGTTTCAGTCTCCAAGCCTGGAGAGACGCACGAGCGAAAGCTCAGGGGTGGCTCGCTGCTGCTGGGCGAGAACATCCTCAGTTTGTGACATGTCCAAGGCTCATACACAGCGATCCACCAACAACTCACTTCAAACATGATCGATACAACAGCAGATGACTCCGATGGACGAACCGCCAGCTGGGCTGAGCCTATACAGGGCAGCTCTGAATGAAAGCCGGTGTCGGCCAGCTTGTTGCCATGTCTGTGTTGCTTCATGCCCGTAAAACAGGAGACAGGCCTCAAGGCATTTCATTGCGGGGTATCACATTGCCAACAAGCGTCGAGGCTGCTGCGCAAACCGCTCCAAATGAAGAGCAAGGTTCTGTTTGTGTGGCCTGCAACCCGGATTGCTTCTGGCCACTTATGAATTTTACAGCTTCCAGCTGCAGCGATCTGGACTGATTTGGCATGCCCAGGTGTCCAACGCTACACAGCGAAACAGCAGTGTTCCATGCCTGACATACTGAGATGCAGAAGTCTCATGTCATGAAACCCTCTAGTTCAACTGAAGCCGATCAGCAGTGGTAGGATCCCTCTGGTTTGGGACCGTTAGCTTCAAGTACCTTTGGCTCGCGTTCCTTTGCCTCCTCGCGCCGTCGCGCTGAAGCCCAAGCAGCGAAGGCGACGTGCAAAGAGCGGCCCGCCTGGAGTTCCTGGGCGAAAAATGGAGCCGATGGGTTGACAGATTCAGCTGTTGGACTCACAACCCTGTGCTGAGACTGGGACGCGCTTGGATTTACTTGCTGCTCGTGTTGTTGTTGCATTCAAATTTGGCTTGTGTGGAACGATCGCGTCCTACTGCGAGCGAGATGCCCAACGTATAACTTAGCTAGAACAGCTTAGACTACAGATGCACGGCAACCTATGCAGGACCAACTCCTCTGAAACCTGCCGCAGCACTCAGCTTAACGTGCTCTTTGCACGGTATCCACTTCACAAGTAGCGACTCATTGCCCGAAGCCTTTGTTTGCTCTTATCTCTCCTTCATTCTTCGATTCTAGCCTCTGGTCATCTTCTGCTGCCTTGTAGTTGCATGTACAATAGCTGCTACTGGCACTGCTGGCTCAGTCTCAATCACTTGCAGTGTGCGGCGGCGGGCCAAGAGCACAACGGTCTCCAGCATCTCCCCATCCTGCCTCAGGCACTTCACAGCGACGTGGTCACGTCAGGCCCAACGAGCCCATCGTAAAGTTGGCCGTTTCACAAGGCATACGCTGCTTGGACCTGCTTTTTTTCTTAGCCCAGAGGGGATACGTATGATTACCACAGGACGTGCCTGGCTGCAGCGATCGCTGTGGCCAGGCGCTGCTGGGCCATGTCGTGCCTCGGCGAAACTTGAAAACTTGAACATGCGAAGCACGGCATCCTACTGGAGCTTGCATGTCTTCGTTGTGGTGAGCTTGGGCCCCAGACGCGTGCCGCACGCCTCGCCGCAGTGTCCCCAGTCGGCGCCGAAGCAGCGCGCAGCGCCCGCACCGCCCTCGTCCAGCCCTCTGCTGACGCACAGCTGGGTGAAAGGCACCACTGCGGCAGTCCTCCGCAAGGCCTCACAAGATGTAAGTCTGGATTCCGGCTTCCGGGTGGGCACAGTCAGGGCACAATCGTGGCTGTCGTTATTTTAGGCCCCCTAAATGTGAGCAGTTGTCACTTGTCACCTGTTATGACGATATATCATCGGCCTTCGTACGCAGCTGAACAGTGCAACTTTGCAGAGGAAGTCTTGAAGTCACGAGCTGAAACATGGCACGGACATGCAGCTGCACGGGCGCTGCCTCGCGCCCAGGCGACTTCTTTGGCCCAGGTCGTGCGTGCCTTGCGAGGAGACCTCAGCTCATTCATCAAGCCATGCTACTCAGTGGCATTCGTTACCGCAGTGGCGTAAAGCAGATGCCCCGCAGGGGCCAAGACTGAAACACCGACCGTGCTGGAGCGAGCCGTGAGGAATAAGCGCGTTCTCGCGAAATAAATCGGCGCTTAACTTGCACAAACCCACCCGCGGAGGGTTTCTCAGCTCATGCGGCACGCTCTCCACAAAGGCACAGGGGCGTTGGCTCCAGCAGTGGCACAGGCCAGCAAAGTTTTAGCCTCGGCCTGCACCTTTCTCAAGAGCTCAGCTCCTTGTGGCAGTGCAGAACTCGGCACAGCACCCACCCTTAGTCCCCTCTTCAACACTTCCCTGGCTTCGGTGCTCGGCACAGCCTTGCTAAAGCATTAGCGGAAATTAGGACAGCTTTTCTGAGAGCCTAAACAGCTCAGCACGATGTCGGGTAAAGAGCTTGCATGTTTTTGGGCGATATTTGCTGTCGGATGAGGTGTAGTTTATCTCCCCGTGTCATTGTTCTTGCCATCCCCTTGCGCGTCGGACAATGTCGGCCAGGCCATCCCGTCGCTCGTAGCACTGATCACCGTTCTTGCTAATGTTGTTGCCATTGTCGGTAATTATTATTTATTGCAATGATGCGCGAAAGCCTCTTCCGGGGCCAGGGTTTCGAAAGGCCCTGCAGTGGGATCCAAGCTGACTCTAAAGCTTTAGAGTCTGCCGGTTCTGATTGCAACTAAGCAACAAGTCCGGCCGCTGAGCAGGCACACCCTGCCGGGCCTACTCAAAGGTCGTACGGCGCTGAAACATGCTGCCCGCAACTGTCCTGGCAGTATATGTATATATATATATATATAGATACATGTATATATATGTATATTTATATATAGGCAGACCCATGCCTCCACTTCAGAGCGAAAGGCCGCACAGCTCTGTGCAGCCTGCAGCTTGCCGCGCAGCATCTCACAGCATGCCTGTGAAGGCATCTGAAGGCATCTGAAGGCTTCACTGCTCCATCTTCAAGAGGCTACAACAGAGGCTTGCACAAGTGCCCACCTCCAACTGCCTCTTCTCCGCTTGCTGCTGCTCCTCGGCTCCACAAGCATACCGGTAACGATCAAGAAGTGCGCACTGCCTGTAATTACACTCCATCACGTCCTTGTTTGACAAGCTTCAGCATGTGCTGAATTGATGTCTAGGCGCCATTTGAGCCCAACCTCGCTGGAAACGCTCCGTCATTGCGTTGATGCGTTTGGCGGCTTCCTGCAAGTTCGAGTACGTGCGGACAGAAGATTCTCACCTGGGCTTGGGTTCAATTCCTGAGACCCCTCTGCGCCTCTGCCCATCGCAGCACTGCATCTCGCTCGTGCTGTGCTCGCTGCGCCCGTTGCCGTGCAACAGTCGAGGAACCTTTTGGGCAACCGAATTTCCACAAGCAAACCTGAGTTGTTGCTGTTGTCACTAATGACTCCCAACCCCCACGCTCGAAAAGGGAGGTTGGGAACAATGGAAACCTCGGAAACGGGTGGTTGGGCACAATGTCTTGTCCTTGCTTCAGCAGATCCCGCTCTTTTTGATATGCTAACTTGGGGCGAACTGCCAGCGTGCTTACCTTTATTTCTTCCTGTTCAAGCATACCTACACTTCCTAGACTGAGTGCTAGTGCGAAGCAAGCGCTATACCTAAGGAGCTGCACTTCTTGGGGGGCCTCATACCGACGACATAACGTTGATAAAGATCATGGTTCGTTTGCCTTTTCTATGAAAAATTATCAAAACAAGCGTTTTGAGAAGTCACCAATATTCATGTTACAACTATTTGTGCTGAAATATGCTGAAACCCTCTTTGATGAAGGTAGAGCCCTAGCTTGGGTCGCTACCGCACTCTGCGGCGCGGCGGCTGCGCCCAGCAGCTTGGACGAGGTCAAGCGCTTGGGCGAAGAGCCTGCAAAGAGGGTCCCACAGCAATCGCCGCTAAAAACTTGTCACCACCACCATCATCACCCTCACCATCCGCATCAGCATCATCATCGTCCCCATCATCATCATCATTATCATCATCATCATCATCATCACCGTCGTCGTCATCTTCTTCTTCTGCTTCGTCGTCGTCATGGCCATCACTGTCATCATCGTCGTCTCACGTCATGTCATCGCCGTCGTCATCCTCGTCATCGTCATCAGCAGCACCAGAAATTTCTGGCTTTGTGATGGCTTTTGGCGGGGATGCGGACATGTGAAGTGGAGCTCCTGCCCGAGTAGCCATCGAAGTCCGCCAGGCTGGCATTGTCCCGGCTCCACTGGGCCCCTTTGAGCTCCACTTTGGGCTCTTCCATGGCTACTGCGGTTCGTCTCAAAAAGGCCGCGGCGCCGAGGTCCTCCCTACTCGGGCAGAACACCGGAATGTAGTCTCGCAAGGCGAGAGACCCTATGAGAAGCAAACGATGAACTGGCAACGCTTCCCATGTTCTCTGCAATCACTGCTCGCTTCTTCTGGTGTGGTTCTCATCATTCTCATCTTCAGGCGTTGCGTTCTTCATCTTCTCCTGTGATTCCAAGCTAAACCCGTTTAACAACCAACCATTTTTACGTTTTCCCTAGGCACTCGGCAAAATCATTCATCTCGCACCGCCGGCAGCCTTTTTAGTTTGCCCATGGTCCCAAATGCCAGGCGCATAGAAAACTGATGTCAGCCTCTGCAATGTTATAAAAAGGATACAGGCAGGAGGAAGGCGCGAAGCAGGCTGGAAGCCTGCAGCTCTGCCGGAGTGTTTCGATCTACTTTCATTCACGAGGCTGGTCTCACCTTACCTGATCGTGAGGGGGTCTGTTTGTTCTTTGGCAGAGTCGCTCTTTTCAAGCAGCCTTCACACCTTAACTCCGCCAGAGAAGCTGCCTGATGGGGAGCCCTGGCCCGCAGAACCATCAACAAGCAAAGTCACAGAAGAGCTTAGAAGCATCATGTAGGGGGCCATCTTGAGCCGGGCCGTGTTAAAGATTTGAATTGAAAATTGTTGCCCTGAGTGCCCAAGGACCTTCTCGAGGCCGGGGTCATGCACACATATGCAACCCTGATCACCCTGTCTCTGCATGTCGAAGCACTTTCGGGCGCCAGAATCAGCCATAGTACCCTGGGACTCCGAGCAGGAGTGCGTGGCAAACAGCCTGCGAGGAGCCTGCTTGGCTCTGAAATGCTATGAGGTCTGAAGTCTACACAATCGGTTCACTGAGATCTTCTGAAGGTTCCGAGCCCTCCGCAGGCCACTGCGGCAAGTTCCATTAGCGTTTGAAAGCTGTGCAAAGCGTTGAAGCTTAGGCTGTGGTGTCACCATGTCACAATGTCAGAGTGTCACAGCGGTGTCTAAAGATGCAAGATGCAAGCCTGGCATCGTATGCGGTTTGAATCTTGGCGGACTACTTTATCCAACTCTCCTGAGGAAATCCGTTGTCAACCGGTCGAGCAAGCTTGTCACACGGTGCGGCTGCATCTTCACAGCCTTCCATCAATCGAGTCAGAGTTGTTCAGCTAGGGCTAAAGCTACCAGCAGGTTGCGGAAGCTGTGCACAGGCGATCATTGTGACAGTTTGACACCTGGGGTCAACAAACCCTGCTGACTTCCCCTGAACACAACTGGAAGGAATGGGGGGTACCACGCATTTCATCCTTGACTGAAGAGGTATCACTGGCTAGGCACTGAAAGTCACTGAACCAGTGAATTCGGAGATCTTCCAAGAGGCCCGGCCTTCACTTGTCTGGCCGTTCGAAGAAGGAGAAGGGGCCCGATGTCTCGTACTCCCGCCTTCGAGGCCCCGCAGTTCAAACGCGAACTAGGTCTGTGGGAGCACTTGACATGGTTCAGCATCTTCAAAGATCTTCGCACGCGACCGACTTCACGCTGAAGATGTTGAAGAATGACGTGAGCTCTGGAAAGGAACAGAGATTCAAGTACGTTGTCAAGAACTGCCGCTTAATGCTGAGCCTCTCAGGCTCCTCGTTCACGGCGGAGAAGAGCGTTGTCAGGGTGAGGAGGAAGGCGGCTGGTGCGAGAAGGAGGTTATACAAGGCATGGCCCTAGCAAGGCTAACAGCCTGAGCTGTGCAATGCTGTGCACCTCGCAGATCCTATCCTTCCTGGAGAGACCCTTTAAATGTGAGGGGAGGAGGGTTGCGCGACGCATTCTGAACTCTAAACCTGCCAGCTCGGTGCGGCTGCCTCCAATGCCAATGTAGAGGAAGATTGGATCCGCATCTGGCTCGGTGACCTTCAGGAGCTGGGAGAAACAAATATGCCGCATTGGGGCTCTGGACATGCTGCGAAGGCGCTGCGCGATACGGGTGTTTACGAAAACAGGTGACTCCGAAAAATCGACCCCCAAAGAGTAGGATTCCCTTACAATAAGGACCCCAATGGGGTACCCCTAATTTCGGAAACCCCCATATTTCCATGAGAACGGATGATGCTCAGATGCCACCAAAACAGTTGTCTTGTCGTGCGGGGGGCCTTAACGAACTCCACGTCGTACACTGTGTCACCCAGTGGTCCAATTGCCTGCACGGGGGTGACATCAGCCAGGGAATGGCTAAACTCTTGCTGACATAACTCTTGGGCCTGCTAGGCATCAGTGGCTGCTAGCCTTCGAGGCCTTGACACACAACTTCCCAAGGCCCTCGCATCTTCAGGATCATCAATGCCCTCCTGTGGAGAATGCCGTGGCCATGCTGTGGCCATGTGTACACGTCACAGGGCATCCAGAAATTGCGCATGCAACTGCAAAGTGCCCGGAAGCCCCCGCGGTCCACACCAAATCCGAGCTCTGCCGGGATCCAGAACCTTGGGGTGTCAAGATAACTGAGTCACAAGTGAAGTTGCACAGGGTGAGTCTCGCAAATGTGTTGGGCCGTCGACCGCCGCTTCTCCCCAGGTGACATCATTTGAAGACCTTCCTGCCAACCTGCATGCAGTTTAAGTTCAGCACAAGCGTGAGACTTGCTAAAGGAGAGACCCACTCAGCGCGAACTCTCAACCCAAGAAGGCTCACAGGGACCCTCCTTGGATGGTGCTCGTGATCTTCACTTTCGTCTGCTCTTGCCGCAAATAGGAGCCTCAGGCTACTCATGCAAAGATGCATGAGCCACTTGAGGCGGCACCCAAAATATGACTCCCCGGCTCGGCTCGTGGCTATCTATCAAATCACCATTGGATGCCTTCCAGCCGGTATACCTGGAACAGGTGAAGAAGTTGCCACATCCCTATACAGCCTAGCACTTGCGAAACGAGCGCTACCGATGGCAAACTGCCGGAGGTATACAAGCACAGTGAACGGATTGAGAGTCCGCATCCGCTTGGCGGCCCAGCGTGCCCTACACAAATCAATGACCTTGCTCTGTTGGCCCTTAGCCCAGCCTCACGATGATAGTGTCAGACCGGAGCGGGGGAAGCCTTTGTCAACAGTCTCCCATGGTCGAAAGGGGGATAAACCAAGGATGTTAAAAGCTTGAGAGGCTTCATGCAGAACGCACTTGCCCGGCACTAAGCAAGCACTCAACAAGTTCCGATTCAACGCACAAACATTCGAAGGTGTGGCGTCTCAGATTCGAAGGTCCAACGAAATGCTGAAGCCTCCCTTGTTTTCCTGTCTATCTCGGCACAAAGAAGATAATAAGAGCATATAAGAGCCATTCATCAGCCCTTACCAAACCTTGTCTAAACTCAACTTCCCTAGATTCTTAGATCCGACCTGTAATTTTGACCTACCTGTAATCACAACCTACCTAGGGTTTTTAAAGATGTTTAACGGTCAAAAGCTTTGCGGCCATCTCGAGCCGCTGGCCCGCCGTCGCCCCGCTCCAAGACCTTCCAGGCCAAGCCGGATGAGCTCCTGTTCCCATTTGAGGCGTTAGGGATCTTTAGGGTGTAGGGTGCAGGTGCGCACCGGATTCAGGGTCTCAACCAAGGCTTCAATTCATGCAAGGTTGCGGGACTTTCCTCCCCAAACCTTGGCAAACCCGCCTTTCGCAGCCCGCTGGAGCCGTCAAGTCCTCAGGTGGGGCATAGCGTCCTGCACAGATTGAGGAGCGGAAACGAAAAGGCCCTTGGCCTGCGACATAAGGCCACAGTGCGGCTTCGCCGAGGTTTGGAGCAGTAGCTGTGTGCTCGCCAATGTGCGCAAATGTGTGCGCATGTGTGTGCGCTTTGGCGTCTTGCACTACGCATAGATCTCGGCGTGTGCGGCTGGCGCAGTCTGGCATTCCAACATACTCCCATTGCCTTTGCAAGAAAACAAAAACGATCGTCTCCGAAATGTCTCCCCTCTGCCTGCGGCAGCGCTGGTCGGAGCTTCTGCTCGGAGAGAGACTCTGGGCGTGACCTGCAGGCGTGCAGTCTGCGTGCAGTCAATGTAGCCAAGTGCAACTTGCAAGGAAATTCACGTGACCCAGGGAACAACGTGACCCAGGGAACAACTGCTTCATGTGAGCAAATTCCTCCGGCAGTATAAGCTTCAGCGCCACTAACGACACACTAACCCACCTGGACCTGGCCACGGCTTGGGACAATCCAGGCGGTTGCCCACTGCGATGCCCGCCATGCCACCTCAAACAGATTGGTTCCACGAAACACCTCTACATACAGCAACATCTGGCAGAGTTCTGCATGCCCTAGTAGTAGAGTCTGCAAGAATGCCTGCCCAACAGGCTTTCGCAAATTGGCCCCTTGCGTTAGTTTTTCACGCTTTCCAACGCACGCAATCCTCCTCCTCCTGATCCATATGGCCTTCAGCGACGACTGGTCTTCATGCGACGCACGGAAACCACTATGCTCTTTCTTCAGGGACTTGTTTTGCATCTCCATAGGACCTACAAGGTCGAGGCCATTCCCTTCTTTGGCTTCTTGGGATCCAACACTTTAACCAAAGACGAACTTAGAAATCACAGTGCCTTTACACAATTCGAGTTGGCTCTGATGATTTTCTTATCTCGGGGTGTAGCTTACTGCAGCATACTGCAAGAAGTTTCCGTCAGCGCCTGAACCTGGCCAGGTTCAGTCGACAGCGCATCGCAACGAGTTGCTGGAGCTTCTAAGGCTGCCAGCACGGTTGTGCTGGCTCACAGTGGCAGCGCGCTCAGAGCCAGCACTATCCTTCCTGACAGTGCTCTTGACATTTTCGGCAGTGCCTGTGCAGCTAATTAATCTGAGAGGCACTGCATCAAACCCCCATAGCAGATGGTTTGCAGAGCCGGGCTCATCTTTCGCCAAAGGCACATGAGACTGCGCGATGATCGGGGCTCAGTGCCTCAAGAGCACAGGGCCTGCCAGCACCACCGGCTCTGGGGGGGTCAGTCGCAGGAGTCTTGCAGGTCCCCCTCCGAGGTTTAGGGCCTGCATGGAGCTTTTGCCTTGACTCCACGGCTTTTTTTTGTGTGAGGGCCCACATTTTACACAGATTCTGGCTTCCAGGTCTATGGACGTGAGTGGGTTGGCTCAGCAGATGAAGCATCCAGAGACTGGAAGCCCGTGTCTGTGTCGGGGCATAAATAATCTGGTGACACGACGGATATGAGACAATTCAGGCATCACAGCCCAAGGCAGCCCGAGCTTGCCAAGGTGAAAGATCATGGACAAGTAGCCTGATTTGTTGTGAATGCTATCCGGCTACGACCGCTGTGATTCTTCGTGGTCTTCGACAAGAGGTGAGGTGAGAGTTATGAGGCATACTATCTCTTGGCGTGCGGCTGTCTCGCTCGCTGCTCTAGACACCAGCGCAGCCCTCATATCATGCTGACCAAGATCTGGGAACGCGTCCCAAGCCTCGGAGCAAAATACAAGGCTCGCTTTATCTATCTGCGGCAGTGTAACCGCCGACGCATGGACACCAAAGACGGCTACCGTATGCTACGGGAAAGCGTAAGACGTAAGATTCGGGCACTTGGTGGGTCATTAGGCGGGATAGAATCCACCACCGTCACCCCCACAGCCGCCATCGCAGCCACCACAGCCACCGCAGCCGCCATCGCAGCCGCCGCAGCCCATGCAGCCCCCACAGCCGCCATCAAGGCCGCCACAGCCGCCACAACCCCCACAGCCTCCACAACCGCCGTCGCAGCCGCCGCAGCCGCCGCAACCTCCGCAGCCGGCGTCCAACCTCAGCAAGCCCACGATGAAAACGCAAGGGCGGCAGGCAGCAGTGGTATGTCAAGGATGCCATGCTGGCTACCAGGTAACCATCAAGAGTTTGCTAAGCCAGCAGGTACATATCTTGCCACGGCAACGATTGTGACTGCGCGAGCTCTTGGTACATTCTCACCTTTAGTCTGCAAGGTGATGGATTCTTCTTCCCGATCTTCCTCCGGACTTCAAAAAATGACGTTTGTGACGGCACTGCTAGACTTAGATAGTGCCACAGACAGTGCCACCGTTACCGAAGAGCGCCTCGCACCCAGTGGCAGCTTGTTGTGCATTTCGCTATGCCATAGCGACCTGCTACCGCATCGTCCATAAACAACTCAAGGGCTATGATGATGCGACCTGCCGAACACATTCCTGCAGCTGGGTGTTTTTCCTCAGTCCTGTCACCTGCGGCCTCGAACGGCATATCTACGAATCTCCAGCACCCGCAGCCATTTCAGAATTGTCTCTGGCCTCTTTTGACAATGTTGGACATTTTCGACATCATCCCGGAGATTCACAACATTTCATGCTGGTGTTGTGTTCGCTCCAGGGAGGCTTTTGGTGTGGCAGACGGCGCTGGTCAGTCAAAAGTGGCAGTTGCCGAGGCGGAGGCCCACAGCCACCGCAGCCGCCACAGCCGCCACAGCCGTCGCAGCCCCCAGCGTGGTAGGGCTCCGCTCCTTGCGTCTCATCAGTCAGCTGGACTCGGCGGACTAAGGGCCGAACAGGGCGAACTTTGATGCAAGGCCTTCTATTTCACTGGCATTCACTGACAATCTCTGACCAATGCGAGCTGACAGCCGAATAATCAGAATCAGAACAGTAGCTCAAAAGCAAGTGAGTACTGAACTTGAAGAGTGAGAAATGAACTTTGAAACGCAGAACATAACCCAAATCATTCGGAACCGGCAAACCTTATTATGTCGTCCCAATTTTGCCGAGTCGCGAAAGCCTCCGGGGCCCATATCTTGAGCTTTGCCGTAGGCATCGCCTGCCCAGCGTGCCATGAAATCAGGTGACCATCTTAGGGATGTTTCGGGACATTTTCTAGTAAGAGCAAGGCCTGCAAGGTGGCTGAGAGGTCAGAACTCAAAAGGGTCCCTTTTTGGGTACCCTAAATATAAGGGGCCGCCTTGTAATAGGAACCCCAAAAGGGACGCGAATTTAAATCCTAAACTTCCCTAAACCCTAAACCCTGCATCTCTGACGGTCACTGCCTCCCCAGTTGCCGCCCGGGCCCCTGCCCCCGGCTCCGGGGGCGGAGCCGCTGGCGACTGCCCCGGTGACCTGCAACGGTGCTCATCGGTGCTCCACCACCAACAAAAATCCAGACAATATAGCGTTCTAGATGAGACTTTACATGCTTTTTTGTGCAATACATATGGTTATATATCTGTATATCTATATATCTATATATCTATATATCTATATATCTATATATCTATATATCTATATATCTATATATCTATATATCTATAGATCTATAGATCTATAGATCTATATATCTATATATCTATATATCTATATATCTATATATCTATATATCTATATATCTATATATCTATATATCTATATATACCTATATATCTGTGTGTATATATATATATATTATACATACATACATACATACATACATACATACATACATACATACATACATACATACACATACATGCATACATGCATACATGCATACATGCATACATGCATACATGCATACATGCATACATGCATACATGCATACATGCATACATGCATACATGCATACATGCATACATGCATACATGCATACATGCATACATGCATACATACATACATACAGACATACAGACAGACATACTTATGTATAGATTACATACTCTATTCGATTCTATACAGGCCACAGTACCGCAGCGCCTAGATGCAGCCAAGATTCACTAGTGGCCTGGGCCATCGGCAGTCGGGTGCTACGTGCGACATGCCCCGCACCATACTGTGTTTAAGGCTGTGTAAGCCTCGCACTGTATACTTCTGCTTCTGGGCATTCCACTGGGCCTCAGCACTAGAGTTCTGGCAAACCGCCATATTATGCTGTGTACTCGAACTGGTGAAGTCTGCTGATTTCGGTAGCAGTATTGTGGATGGTCTCAGGGCAGAGCAGTATACTGTACTGTCGTGTTCTGAACCAGGGTCTGGCCATCGGAGAGGGCCGTCCTGCAGTGTGAATGCAAAAGCCTTTGCGGTATGAGGTCATAGGAGCTTTGTGAGCGCCAGTACTTTGGGAGTCCTGTGGACGTAGCAATCATCACCACCTCCCTCGGGGCTGACGAAGCCAAAGCCTTTCTCTTCGAACCACACCTGTCAAGAATTCTAGCACATCCTGCGCATTCATCTTCATCCTTTGCTGCGGATGCATACCGTCGCCCCCAATTTCGTGGCTGCCTTGACGATGCCGGTGGCTTGCACCGTGGGTCCGGCAAGTCCTGAGCTCAACGCGCAAACGGCACTACAACAGCTTCTGTGACACGCCGGCTTTCTCTCTGTGCGTTTGTCTATGCCAAGGCACCGGACTGGCCACCCTGACACATGAAGTGGCAAGCAACAATTCCGCAAGCTGCCGCAAGTATGTTTTTGGCAGAGTGCATGCAAGGGATCATCCCAGCCTTGCCCCCACCGCCACCACCAAAGCCGCTGTCGCCACCTTTGCCACCGCCCTGCGATCAAACATGTACTTGTGCACCGGCGACTCAAAGATGACTCCAGCAAACGTGCATCATGCTACAACGGCATGGCCCTCAAATGGTACAACGTGGTTGCACCCTAGTAAACGACTTATCCTTGCGTGCAACGTGGGCCACCCTTTAGGAAGAAACAGAGCTTAGCAGTGCTTCCGGAATCCACCCACGGCCTTTTGCTGGGGCACTGCGCCCGTCACTCGGGAGGCCTGGCTCTTGCCTGGCTAGAGGGGTGTCGGACGTAGATTACGGTTTAGGCTTGCGGTCTGTCAGGTTTGTTGAGGTTCGTGTTCCGCAGCATGTTGGAAGAACCTCTTCCCGCATCAGTCAGAACCACGATGCGAGCCAAGCTGCCTTTCTGGGCATTCCACGTCACCTCAAACTGGACCTGGGCACCCTGGAGCAGCATACCACCATCTGTCAGAGCACTTCTGTGGACAAAAATGTCATCTCCACCGCCGTTCCTTGGTGCGGAAATGGGATGAGGACTACAGGCTTGCGGCTTACGGTCCCTGCCACGTGTGCAGCGCAAGTGAATGCTACCTGGAAACGGAATGATGAAGCCGAAGCCTTTCTCATCGTTCCACGACTTGACAGTGCCAGTCTGCAGGCCACCGTCCATTCCGCCACCCATGCCCATCCCCATGCCGCCCATACCGCCACCCATACCCATTCCTCCCATACCCATCTGACCTCCCATACCGTCCATTCCCATACACCCACCACCCATGCCCATGCCCATCTGACCTCCCATGCAGCCCCCCATGGGCTGCTGCATTTGCCCCATGGGCTGCCCCATGCCCATCTGCATCTGGCCCATTGGCTGGCCCATGCCCATCTGGCCCATTCCGCCCATGCCTTGCCCCATTGGCTGGCCTTGGTCGAACAAAATCATCAAGCTTACCCCCGTCGGGGGTTGACATTGCGTGACTGAGTTCCGCCAGAGCGGCCCATCTGTGGCTGCCCCATGCCCATCTGGCCCATGCCCATGCCACCAGCCATTCCGCCCATGCCTGAACAAGAAGCACGGCTCCAGGCAGCTTTTTCGGGTCTTGCGCTGAGTGAGGCTCAGGCCACCAGGGTCTGCACCATTCTGCATTCCCCCGCCATCTAGACCTTGCTTTGGCACAGGCCACGCGGCACAATGATGGAGGAGCCGGTGACTGCAGATGTCGTCTTTAACGCATGTCGTGGGGGGCGCAATGGTTACAAAGCTTGCAGGAGACATCAGAAGACAGCAGAAGACATGGAACATTGTGCCAAGGGACCCGGGGTCGGCTGAGCCTGTCCAGGCCACTTGATTGTGAAAAGCTCGACTGAAATGCTCAGAGGCTGCCTGCGCAGCGGCGCCATCGTCGCCGGGCTTGGTCCAGGTGACCTCCAACGCTGAAGCCCAAGTTGCTCAGCTGATGGCCGAAGATCTTGATTCTTGAGTGCAGCTATTTCAGTAAAGGTTTGCCATGCTACTGCGCAACGTCGGAAACTCCACAGCCTCTCCGGTGGCGGTATTGTGGTAGTACCTCAAAGGTTGCGAAGGGGCTGGGACCAGGAACGTAGCACGAGTGAGGGAAACGTGCGAATCGGTACTGTCAGTGCTTCAGGAGCCGTGCGCAGCATGGCCGAATCAGCTCTGACTTTGCTGCTTGCAGCTGGGCTGCGGATTGCCCGTGTTGGGGTCAATGTGCTCAGCCCACCCTGCGCCAAGCTTGGAGCAACAGAACTTCGACGCAAACACGGTAACTGCATGCGCGTGCCACAGAACTGCAGCGCCTGGTGGAAGCCCAGACATGTTTTGTTTGGGGCCTCGTCCGCCTTCCCCTATGGAGTCTGAGCCACACAAAATCTGCGGAGATTAGACATATTGCTTGGGATGTTCCCCTTATTCTAAGAGTCCTTCATAGGGATTATAGTACCCCCTACTATAATCCCGATTAAGGACTGTTAGTATAAGGGGGAACATCCCAACAAATTATGTCTATAGTTCTTCCAACAAGCCTGTCCCCGCCTGTCCTAGGCCTATGGTAGGGCTTTGCTGTCCACGCAGCCAACCCGAGGTCATGAACAGCTCTTGACGGTATCAGGCCAAAGACCCAGAATGGAGGCGTGTACGATGCATGATGACATGGACCATGGACGACGGTACACTGATGTTCGAGAGCCGCCCGGCGTCCCTGAACCTCTTGTGTGGCCCATCTGTCCTTGAGTAAGACAGGAACCTTGATGTTGTGTGGTCTTCTACAGTAAATTTCATGCAGGCGCCCCGGCGTAGACCGAGGCTGCGAGAACCAGCAATGAGGCCTGGCACCAAGGCAGGATGCAGACAACACCGTTGAAGCATGGACATGCGACTCAAAAGAACTGAATGCTTCTCTTCTGACTGCAAATGTCTGTTTTGCCACTATCCTTCTTGGACGGCGAAGGCTAGTAGCACTCACATACCACGTCAGCGTGACAACTCTCTTGCCAGGGACACCAGTGAGAGCCGTGCCATTGCTTCAGCTTCGGCACTGCGGTGTGCACCGAAGGGTCTGCTAAAGCTGTTGTGGCAGCGGAGGTCGGTGGCACCACACGAGCTATGAGACGGACTCTTTCTGGCTTTTGCGACTGCTTCTCTTAAGCTTGCCGACCAATCATACATCACGTGCCTGAAATACAGAGAGCTGTAGATACTCGGCTCTTGCCTATTCTGAAACTGCACGATCGCGCATGATGGTGCAAGCAACCTCCACAGGTGCTTCACCTCGACCTTTGCTTCAAATTATCCGAAGCTCAAGCCTTCATGCTGCACTTTTGCAAACGCTCGACCGTCACGCTTTGTCGCTCACAGGCAAGGCCGGCCATTGCGGCTGCCTGAGCGTACTAGGGAAGCCAACGTTCCTGGTTCAGCAAGGGGCTTCCGCATGAACACCGGGACTGTCTGGGCTTAGGCTTGCGTCCAGGTTGCTGGCGCGCAAAGTTTTGCGGATCCGTAACGACCTCACGGACAAGTCCCATCGACAAGCATCAGAAGATGGAATGATGTCTTGGATGGTACATCGCATGTAGTAGGACCACGTAGGATAGCTGCATGATGCTGCATGGGCAGATGAATGCGAGTGCTGGCACCTGGGCACCTTTGCCCTCCAGCTCCGCAGCAAGAGTCTGAAGCCTGAGATGTGAATATGTAAGAATACGGATTCGATACAAGGGCCATGTCAAAAGCCAATGACCCCACAAGCTTCAAAGCTTCTTGGGTCCAAATGACGCTTGGGCAGGCCCACAGAATGAGACCAAACGTCGGCGCTCGGAACCGCCTGGGGCCAGCCAACGTCGGAATGCCTGTCCGGAGCCCAAATTTCGAGATTCTACCTTTTCCTCGAGTCGCAGAATTGAAGAGACACGTCCGTGCGTGCGCAGTCTGTCCCGACCGACTCCCCTGACAATGCATGGCCTCCTTCACATCTTGCTTCTTCACGGCTTTGAGCGCCAACGCCTCCTTCCGGCCCATGCTGCGCAGGATGCGGTGTCTGAAATCTGGCCCCTTCAAACTCTTAGCGAAGAATGTTCAACAGTGTGCTAAGACGATCGTCGGGAGCGAAGCTAAATTCCAGGATGCAGCCGACCCTGACATGACCGGACTCCATTGGGCCTCCGAGATCACGTTCAAACCTGCCCCCCCTCTTACCATTAGGGCATATTAGGGTTTAGTTTTGGGGGGGTTTTCGGTTTAGGATATAATGACATAGGGTTTAGGGTTTGAAAAATGTCAGCATTTTGGAGTCGTGGTCTGGCCAACGTGTGGCCCCTGAAACACATGGAAGCACTACTAGTGTAAGACATACGAGGACCCCTTGTGATTCTAACAACAGTCCTTAATCGGGATCATGACAGGGGGTACTATATTCCCTATTAAGGACTGTTCCTCCAACAGGAACATCCCAAGTCTAACATTCGGTGCATCGAGGGCCCTTTCAGGGGCCCTTTCCTCCAGGCGCCGCTGCCAGCGAAAAGCTCGACCTTGGCTCTGTCAGAAGGGTCTTGGACGTTTTAGGGTTTAGGGTGTCGGGTTCAGGGCTTAGGGTCTACAGTTTAGGGCTTAGGGGATGTTTAGCAGATGTTTAGGAAATGCTTATATAGGGTTTAGGCTTGCTAGGAACATGTCACAGACATCTTGGGGAATCCTGTTCTTGGCGAGGTGGTGGGCAGATGTGGCAATCCTGTCCAGGGCAAATCTCCCTCCTAAACCCTAAACCCGAAACCCTAAACCCCGTTCGGCGCGTGGCCTCTCACCCTTGAGGCAACTCAACTGGGGAGGACTTCCATGCAGACTTGTTGCATCTTGTTTGCTATTGTGCGACTTCTTCGTATTGTTGTTCTGCGCGATTGTCGTATTCATTACCCGCATTTCTCTTTGCAGTGGCTGGCAGAGTCATCGAGGTCCTTTTATTCGTGGACCCTCCACGTGCAGTCCGTGGCGCTCTGCTGGGCGTGCATGTCGGGCTATGTAGTGTTGTGTGATTTCGAAATCAAGGTGTCATGGGCGCTAGAGTACAGCGATGGAGCACACGTGGAACTCGGCTAAAGCGGGATCTCCCAACATGAAAGCCGCGGCGCTGCGGATCTCGCCCCATCGCCGCTGGCTCGCTTCCGCAAGCTGCTGCGGGCGCACGAGTCTGGCCTGACGTGAGCGCAACAAGGCATCCGTCGAATGCGGCTGAGGGCATGGGCTTGTTCGGGCTCATGAACCTTTATGACGTCCCATTAAGTTGTCCTGTCGTCGGCGCCTGGGCCAGCGCATCTGCAAGTGCAGCTATCTCCTTGTCAGATTTGGCCTTGGTGAGGGCAAGCCGGGTCTCGGATGGCACGTGGTCATTCCCTTGTCAGGCTCTAGGCTTGACACGTCGATGAGGCTCATCGCGCCCTCAATGAACATGTCAATCCTGTCCAGAACCTGCAGCTGCAGCTGTTCTGTAGAAGGTGCTATGTTGGGATTTGAAGCAGAGCAGAGAAATCCCTGGGATAGCGCTCTTCCTGGCCTGCACAGGACGCAGCACGGCCCCCTGCACCAGGAAAACAATCCCTTGGTTCAGGGAAACCGAAACCCTGCCTTCCACTGACACAGGACACGCTGTGGCACGCTGTGTCGTTGGGTTCATTTCTTGCTGCATCTTGCAGCCGAGCAACGGAAGGCCCCCTCTCCCCGGTCCTGCAGGGCGCACATGAGACTGCGCGCTTCTGGCAACTTTCACGTTCAACCCCACGAGGTCCAAACGGCAGTTGACGACGTATCCCAACTGCTGGCGTGTGCGCAACTCTTCGTAGAACCTGAGATGCTCGCCAGAGTTCACCAAGTAGAGCCAGGAGTTGCAATCTGAAAGCCTTGCTCCCGAGGTGCTCGTCGCTTAGGACTGATGTCAGGACCTGCAGGCTGCGCTGCATAGCTCTGGATTCTCCATAGATCGCACTCCACCCATTGCAACCAGTGGAGCCTGTGTATTCACCTGGCCCCTCTCACATGGCTCTTTCCTAAGTATGCTACTGCACTGCCCTCTCCTGCAGCTCGGAGAGGTATTGTAGATCTTCAGCAGACCCACTACGAGTGCTGCCTGAGGGGGCGTTGAAGGTGCCAGTTGTGCAACACGCACGCAATGGAATACTGGAAAAACACACCGTAACACACCCCCACTTTTTCCGAAAGAAAGCGGAGGTGGACTTCTGGGGTGGTGGCCGGCTTGGAAGCTGAGTTCCACAGCAGAGTTCTCCTCGCAGCGCGACTCATGGACTTCCGATCTCACAGCAAGCCTCGAAACTCTTGAAGGGCCCTAAAAAAGTGCAAGATATATATATATATATATATGTATATAGTTATGCATATGTATGTATATATATATATATACATACATATATATATATAGATATCGATATGGCGCCACATGCGAGTGTGATCCATCACGAATTCAGTCTTGCAACTACGCTCCTCCGCTGGGTCCATGATCTGGTTGACCAGGACCACACCTTGGATCACATGGCGGCGCACGGGCACGGTGCGCAGCTGCTTGGGCCTGTGCTGCCAGTTGAAGCCAACCCTCTCGGCCACCATGTGAGCTCTACATCACAAAGCGAGCCGACATGGGGTAAGCAAACAAAACCCTAGGGTCCGAGGTGTCTACTTCCTGGTGCAGCTACGAACAGATTTGCTGGCAAGCTTCCGGGGCCGAAGCTGTTTGCAGGCACTTTGGCAACCCGCGGCGTTGGCCACTCCTGTAAGCTTACACGGTACATGGAGATTCTCAAGAGGCTACTCTCATGTCCACACTCCAATTTGACAACTCAAACACTTGGCGCATGTGCATCACGCTATGGAGCTGTGCAGTCAAGGATCAGACACCGGCACGGCTATGAAGTTCTCCGACTTTAGGGACTTCCTCACGTTGGAGATCAAGCTATCCTCAGATTCAGCAGATAGTCAAGTGGACATGAACTTCCGTGAAGCTCCCGGGAGCTCATGGAAGCAGGGATAGGAAGCATCACAGAGCCAATGCCTGAGCCTCTCAACCCAAAAGGCGCGAAAAGCACATATCATCTTAGACACCAAAGACCCGACATGTACGAACATACGAAATGCATGTTGTATTTTGAGAGAGAAACCCCCTGGAAAGCTTTCAAAGCTTTTCAACCTTAACATCCCCAAAACCCTGAATCCGAACTCCCAAAACCCCTCAGCCTTCCAAGCATACTGCTCCAGCCCAGGCTCTGCCTCGCTTTGCCGCAGGTTGCCCTCGCAGAGCGAGATGCCCACCACTGGAGAAGCCCAGAGCGCCGAAGCGAAGGCTGCCACATCTCGCGCCCTTGGGTAGAGGAGATTTATAAGGTGACGCAATAGGAAACTTCAGCAAGGTTTGGGGTGTTGGGGGTTTTTGGGGGTCCAGGGAGTTGGGGTTCAGGGTCTTCAGCTGAGGGCTGATCTGCTTAGAGTTTTAGATGTTCGGCCTGTGCGATTTGGGGTTCAGTTTAGAGGTCGTTGGCCGACAAGAACGCGAGGGGGGGGGGGGGGGGGGTCGTTCGCTTGCAGTTCTAGCGGTGCGGTGAGGGCCTTAAAGCTTGGAGCTTAAAGCTTTCGGGGGTTGGGCTTAGGGGTTTCGGCCTCACGGCTTGAATGGGCTTAGGCTTTCCGTGTTGCATGTGGAGCGTGAGGCTTGAGAATTTCAAGACCTAGGGATTTGGGGCCTCTGTGAGAAGAGTTCTCCAGAACCACCCTCCACATACCAACGGGCGGCGTCACTTCTGCAAGCGCTGCTTCAAGCTCCTTGCACGATGCGGTGCACTGGCTGCAGACAGGCACATCTTTTTTGGTACCTCAACACAGCATCACGAGGCAACCCGCAGTATCTGCACTGACGGCGCACCCTCCTGTGACTGAATTCGACCAGGGTAACAGCTTTTGGCACCCCAAGTCCTTGAACGAAATCTCGTCAACCACGGTTGCTAGGCCTCTTGACAGGACGGTCTGCAAAAACAAGGCCAGAGCTCGGTCTCTTCCCAATTCTGTCACGACCAGCCTGTCCAGTAGGCAGCTTGGCTGGATGGTGCCTGCCACACAGCGGTCAAGCTTCAGCATGTTGCCTCCATATCCATATTCTTAAGGAAACCATGAGGTGGCAACGCATGCGAGTTGAATTTCTTATCCTGCGTATCTTCCTGTCGAAGCTGTCCATGGTTGCGCACGGAACTGCGCCCAACACCAGCTTCTTCTGAGGCTCCTAGCCTGTGTCGCAAAAGACTCCAGCTCTCGTTGGAGCAGGTCTGCCTGCGCACGGAAGCCTGTCACCGCAGACATGAGGAGGGGGAGAGAGAAACGAACTTGCGCATGGGGACATGTGCCTGTCTGTGAACTCGGTAAACTGTCTCTCGGACTGAACACATTAAATGCAGGGGCAGCTAAACAGCACCGGCAACTGAATGACGATGCACATCAGGGCATGGCCCTCTGGCTCTCGCTGTCGGAAGAATCGGTGCCTCGAGCATCGGTCGGGTCAAAGGCCAGGAGCGCTCCCAGCGCCGCCGATGCAAAATCCGCCAGGCGGTCGTCGAAGCCGCCGAAGAAAAGCTGCGTTGAGATCGCTGCATGTTGCAAGGCACACTTTGTGGACCACAGCATCAATCCTACAGCATCCGCCGGAAGCAACCCCTGACCTGGAAGCATTGTCCACCCGACCTCGACTCCACGCATGGAGGTGGTAAAGTTGAAGGCAAGTCCTGGAAACTGCGCCGTAAAAAGGAAGAATGCCAGAAGCAAACTGCAGACGCGGTCAGGCTCACACCTGCCACGTCCGCGTCGTAGAGCAGCGTTTCCTGACAGCCAAGATGCGAGCCTGCTGAACCGCCCTAAATAAGGAGTCCGTTTCTCCTGCAAGGCTTGCTCAAACATGGACTCGTAGATCCGTGCACAAACTGCAGCACGAGGGCTGCCTCGGCGAGGTAAGGCAACGGACTGTAGTGCCATAGCCACAAACAATGTACCGGAGTGTACCCAAGTGCGACCTGTCTCTCTCCTCTCCGAACTTTGAGGACTTGCAGTTCCGCAGATGAGTAGGATTGTAGTGGCAGGTCGCTTGAGCGTGAGGCCAACTAGCCAAAGTTGCTCCGCGGCAACTTTGTCCGCAGCTCGATGAAGGCGTAGGCTTTCGGCACCCCATACCTTGCTTGCAAATGTTGCAAATGGGATTTGGCCAGGCAACTCGACAGCTTTGACTGGTGTTGCTGGTGCTCACGACGCAAGTTTGCGTTGGGCCTGCAACCACACCCTCTCAGCTTCTTCTGGAATGATGTTGAGAGTCACAGTTCCACGGGACTCAAGGAGCATCCGGCGACTCCCTCAAATTTCCCTGTCTCCCTTCCGCCGCTGCAGAACTGCTCGGGAAAAAAAAGCTGGAGTCAGCTGCATGTGACAGGTGTCACCTTCTTGGGGGTTCTTGTGATTCCAGTATTTCGGGCGGTGTATTCGGGGTACCCCAATTTTGGGAACCCCACATCCCTTACTCAGACTTAGAATTGCAAGGCCTGGCTGGCCACTTGCTGGGCCATCTTTGGCCAGGATCGGTTCAAACAAGTGGCTCCATATCTGGCCTGGGAGTGCGCGGAGGAGTCTGCTGAAACCCTAAACCCTAAACCCTAAACCCTAAACCCTAAACCCTAAACCCTGAAGCCTTGCCTCGGGTACCGTACTAGCGTACTGTGCCTGACTAAGCACATGCACAGACTTGAAATTAGACTCAGGTGGCTCGCTAGGCTAATGGTCACAAGGCATTCTACCTCTACTTCTACCAAGGCGCGTAAAGAAAGCCTCCCAGACTTTATCAATCTTGTACTCGGGTAGAACGACCGCATTCTTGGAGGATGGCTCTGCCCTGGGCGCCTGTCGGTCATCTTTGCACAAGAACAGCCATATGTTTTTCAATGCATGCGAAATATACATACATATACATATATATATATACGTGTATACGTTTAATATGTTCTGCTCTTTTCTGTACTGCGTAGTGAATGTAGTATATGTATACTAGATCATAGTGTATATGCGTAAATATATATGTACATATATCTATATATGTATAGTATGTATTCCCATTTATCGTACACGTCGGTGCATCATAAATATCGTATATATTGTATATATACCCTAAAACAAGATGTAGTGCATATATCGTATATGATTTCGCGACCTATAGTTTTCCAAAAAAGAATAAGTGGGACATTGGTCCTTGTGCAACTTTGATTGAACGTAGGGGACACTGCCTGCGATTTATGATTTGGGGACTTATTCTTTAAAAAACAGTAAGGGGAACACTGCTTGCGATTTGTCACTATGCAACCTATGTTCAAAAAGCAACTGAGGGACGCTGCTTGCGATTCATGATTTTGTGATCTTTTCGTGAAGAAATATACAGGTGGCACTGCTGGCCATTTGTCTTGAATTTTGCAACAGCGAGAGAAGCCCCTTGATGTCCAAGAAGTGGCAGGTGAATTTCCTCATATTTGGGTTCTGTATCTACTGAATCTGACTTGAACTATATTTCGGCTAGAATTTCATCAACTTGTATTCGTTTATGTCGAAGGGCAGATTTAGTCATGTTGTGACCGATCCTAAACGATGCTATTTTAACATTTAGTTCTGATCGAAGAAATCTCCTTTTACGTATCAACTTCATGTCTATCTAGGAAAACATGCTTTTCAGCAAGCATATTGAAGTCCCATCTAAGATTGCTTAATACTTTCGATTAAAAGATGGAGGTGCTTTCTCCTAGTCCGAGATCCAACCGATCCGAGCCACGGGTTTCGGACCTCTTGGATTACGGAATTCGGAAATCTTGCAGCCTTTGCTTTAACCTTCTAACTTCTTTTTCACAAAAGAAGGCATTCCTAGTAAGAGGTGGAACGCTCTCATTTTCGCTTACAATGCAAAAGAAAGACTACTAACAAAATTCATAACAAACTACACGAAATCAATTTTCAGAATATGGTGTAGGGATGTGTAGGGAATTAGTAAAAATTTGGCGTAGGTTGTTTGTGCGTATCGTAGATACTCTGCAAGTGTAAGGAATTTTGTCGGTGTTTATATAGCTGTGTGCCAGAACCCCCGGTTGTCGCGGACCGCGCACGCACACATCTGCTACAGACCTCTGCAACGCCCACCTTGGTACAGACCTCTGGAGGAAACCACAAGCGGGGCTTGCAAAACAAGACAACAAGCAGGTCTGTCGCCAAACCCCGAGCATTGATACATACCCTATGTAACGGGGTGTGTCGCGTGTGTGGGCCCCGGCCCTGCTACAAGCAATCAATGTTGGCACGCGGCCATATACCACATACAGTTGCAACCGCAGTCGAGAGCATGGACAAGAAGCACACGAAACAGAAACAGAAAAGCAAAACAACATACGCAAAATCGGTTTGCTCATTGAAGGCGTAGTTTCTGTGTGTGCACATCTTGTGTACAAGCATGACCTGAATCAAAACATGAGCAAGCAGTACATGAAAATGTCAACACACAAAAAAGCGCAACATTGCTTTTCAGACGGAATCTAAGGGGATTTGTTCGGGGCATAGTCCAGCTACAAGCAAAACCACAAGTCGAAAAGCAGCAATTTAGCATACAAGAGAAGGTGAGTGCGAAACAACAGCAAGCACCACACAAAACATCATTATTGTTATGAAAGCATAGGAAAACGTGTCAACTTGAGTTAGAAAGCGAGCAGCAAAGAATAGCGTGCATCAACCTGGTATACACATCAAAAGTTCGATACGCATATAGAAACCAGTTAAACATACAGAATCAAGTTTAATGATTTGTGTTGTGAACAATTCTGCATGTAACCTGGCAATATGAAACAACTTTTTCCAGTCATAAGCATTGAAAATATACAAATTAACATTCACAGCGAAACAAAAAACAAGACAGCAAAGTACAGAAGCAAATTTCGAAGACAAGGCGTAGGAAATTATGTGTGCATGCATACGTAAAAAATTTCAAACTGGCTTTATATGAAAGAGAAAAAACACAATGCTAGATAGAGCCTAGAGGTTCTGGGCTCTCACACACATACATATAAACACATTAGAGAGTATATAGCTTGTAGTATATGGTATATAGTCTATAATATATACTATATAGTAGATAGTATATAGTATGCATAGTATATAGTCTATAGTATATACTATACAGCATACAGCATTAAGTACACACTACCAATAGAAGGAAAAAGCGTATATAGTATGTAGTATGTAGCATATAGTATATCTGACATGCCCTACAGAAAATAGTGAATAGTATATAGAATATTGTAGATAGTTAGTATATATATATACATATGTAGTGTACTATAAAATACACAGTAGATATTCATACATATATATATACACATATCCATGTATACAAGGCTTCGCCTTCAGCTCCAGGCTACGCGGCAAGAACGGATTGGGATCTGGCAAGCCTTTCACGGGCTTTTAAACTTCAATTCATCACATGTTCATGACTCGGATGGCTCCCAACAGCTCAGCTATAATCTGTGTCGCAATGTGGATCGCCTAAGCCTGGAGCTGCAGATACGCGCAGCCAGCGCGGCTGCTGCGATAGCTGTCGCCGACGAAAGCGTGTGCCATACCTGGCCATGTCAGACGTGACTCCTCACGTGAGTAGGGTATCACTCAGAGACGATGCTCTGATTCCCTGCAAGGCACCAGTGACACCATTGCAGCATCCTGCCTGTCCGGCTTGCAACAACCAGAGTCGTGCGTCGACTCTTTGCTCGGCACTAGCGGGATGAGCTATTCGAGCTGGACCCTCTGAAGAAGTGCAACTGTATCTATCCTACTTCTCACCTGTGCCCGGTAAGCCCAGAAGAACCTGAAAATCAAAATGGTAACTCTACCCGGCAAAGCCCCAAGCACATCTAAATCCTAAACTGCCGAACTGAGGCATCTGCCATGGTTCTGTCTCATTTCCCTCAGCCTCAAAGTTGCGAGAAACCACCTCAACGAAGATGCGACTTGGAGGAGCAGCACAATTGAAGTAACGTAGTGAGTTTAGGATCATGGTTAGGGTCTGACGTTCGGGGTTTTGACAGGGTTTCGACGCATGCCCAGGCCCTTGCAGACTGTCAAGTTGAGCCACTGTGATGATGGCATTGTCTGCGCGTAGGAACTGCAGCAATGCGTCCACAGTGCCTCACATCTGACCAAACATAGTGTTCTAGGTGGTTTAAAGATAGCAGAAGCTCGGTTCCAGAACATGAACTGAGCTGCACATCGCTGGACATGGTGATCTTCCAATGACAACTGCTCTTCACGGTAACAGCTCCACTTACGAACGCCAGCAAATTGTGCACCCGGCACCTTCCAATCCCGGGCCGTTACGAAGTCGGTTGTTTCCCCGGACGTAGTCTCGTGGAAATGCCCAATCCTTTGGGGCTCTGAAACTGGCCATGCAAGAAAATCGACGACACGAACTGCACGCGCAGAGACACTCCCGGGCCTGCATGTTGCCCACCAGCCGGACTGCCGAGTCCATGGGGCCCTCCTTCTCCCGGCTTGCCCAGCCAGCATCAGAGAGCTGTAAATTTTCGGACAGGAGCTCCTCTGGCTTCACTCAACATCTTATGTCACATCCTGACAAGCAGATTGTCCCAGCATGCCCCGTCGTACCCGAGAAACGCACGCCATCCTGCGGCCACACCGACAAGCTCCGCAGATAGTTAACATAACCAAAGAGCAGCTCCAAGATCTGGTCCTGGCTCAGCTAAATACATGATTCACCAATATGCTCTGAACATTTCTGCAGGCACACGGAAGCAAACAACGGACACATGCGCACACCTTGTGAGTCAGGCCCTCCTCGGTGAGCTCCATGGAGACCACCCTGGGCGATGGCACATGTCCAGTTGCAAGAGCTCTGATGTAAGAAGGAAAGGACCGGAAGTTTGGAGAGTAGTTTTCTGTCTCTTCCGGCTACAGTCAGTAATTATACCTTCTGCCTCGCTTGGGACAATACCTGGTTCTTCTCCTGCACAAAAGTCTAATGACTCATCGATTCCCTGTGCATAATTCGTGACCAGGTTGTTGGTTTCCCGCTCCCTCTGCAGTTCAAGGGCTATTGAAGGACATGTCAGCCTGCCACTCCCTTTCGGTTTCCGGGGATTGGTCCCTTCTTTGGCATCCAGGGTCTCAAGTTTTGCGACTTCCCAGCTGAACTTCGACAGCAGCCAGTAGACTAGGCAATCACCACGCATGGTCCGAACTGGAGCCTTTTATCGTCATAGTTGCACATAGCAACTCTCGGATGGTTCCATGTGATCTTCCCGGAAGGCCCAGAATGAATGCAGCTCCCGAGCGCAGGTTCCAGTGCCACCGGGGCTCACCACCGCGAAGGTGCTGGTGTCGTCTGCGCTGCCAACTTCGAGAGCTGTGATCCAGCCTCCCGGCATCTACAGGCTCAGAAAGACGGTTTAGGGTAGTATGACTGGGTAGACACAACTCCATCTCATCACTTAGACACTCCAGACAGCTTATGCGCAGCTGGCCTCGTCTCCTAAGGAGTGCACAGAGGCTGCGCGGGCCCTCGTGGCCCAGCACAGAACCAACCTGTGGAGCATGCGCTGCACATCTCTGCACACCGCTGCATACTGTGACTCTCTGCAGTCCTCCTGCCCCGCAGATCAAACTATTCTCCGCTGACCCCGAAGCACGCAACGGCTGAGACCTAGGATCCAGCTTAGCAGCATGGGAAGTCGGACTGTACCAGCGCCAGCTATCCACCGTCATGCCTCGGAATCGGCATCTGAACGATGCGTGAACGGGACTCATACGAATCGATACTGTCAGAGCGACAAGAGACGGCAACATCAGCAACAGGCTGCTAAACTACCTGTACTGTAAGCTAAGTTGAAGCGTTCTAAGTTGGCCGAAAGACTGCCGCGCACGGGGCTGTCTGGTGCCTCTTCGGCTGCAACTATCCTGGTGCCTGGTGCAAACGGCACCGGGAACACCACCTGCAGGGCCGCTGATTTAAGAAGTCTGCAGATTCGGAAGGTATCTGAGCTGCCCTCAAGTGATTCAAAGCAAAAACACCATGTGAGGTGAATTCCTGCCACCTCACTCAGCACGCCTCCCACGTGATTCTGCTAGGCACGACCTACTTGTTCTAAACCTCCCATCGCCCGCGACACAGACCGTGCTGTTTGCACATTGGCCATCACTGGCCTGTAGCTCACGAGCGTCAGCAACCGGGACGGCTTCAACTCCTGACGCCAAGCTCTCGGTACTCTGCACATCTGTAGAGATGGCAAAAACCGGCAGGGAGCTGCGAAACATCATTCACCAATCCTGTGACATGTACGGCAACAGCATCTAGAGAGAGTCAAAAGCACTTGCAGGTGTCTTGTGACCGTCCTTGTTTGAAGGCTTCGGGCAAGAAAAGTGGCTGATCCGCGTAGGCAGCGGCCGGATCAAGTTTCTCGCCTGGCAGGTTCGGGGCAACAAAGTGACGCGATGTGACGAGACATGAGCTTTGAACCGTCCCCCATACTGAGTTGCTGGGGCTCTCTGGGCTCACAGGCTCACAGCGACAAGCATCACCGGGGACTGCACCTTCCGCAAGGCCAGGAACCTTGCCAAAGAACTGCTCAGCATATCCTTAAGAATGCAGATGCCTTCTCATGCACTGCAGGGAGAGCTGACCTGACACCCGTCTGCGCCGTGGCATCACTCTCTTTCTTGATGCCGAGGCTGCCGAGAGGCGTGCAAGCACATCAGGGGGCTCGTCGCCCAGAATGCAAAGCGTCATAAGCGGCGCTCTGTAGTAGCCTGGCTGCGTGGCTCAGAAATAGTGCACGACTGTGCAAACTGGATCTGCCGAGTTGCGCCGGTAGTACCGTACAAGTTCGGCTCGAAGGTCAATTCCTTTGTCCAGGCAAAGTTAGATGGCCAAGCGCGCGACATGCTGCAGCAGAGATTTCCTGTCTTTGCACCCGAAACTGACCATCTTGATGGATTCGCATGTATGCCCTCCCCGCCTCTGGAAGCAGTGTCTTCCAGCAGGGTCTTGATGTTTCCCGTCCTCGAAAGGCGTGGCAGAGCAGCCTACTCACCTTACACAGACTTCCGCAGGCCCGCCCGCGTCTGACAAGCACAAGCACCCAGGCTTGCCGTGCGCCCCAGCGCTTGCATCCGGGATGCCCAAATTGGTGATACGGGTGCGCAGGATTGGCGCGACTGTTCAAGACCTTTTGCTGGAACATGCTCACGGGTCTCACAGTCTCACATGACAACCACCTATTCCGTCTAAACGATGCTGACTGCGTCAGAATCCAGAACGAAGAGGACATTTAAGCATCTTGCCTGTCCCATGCGATAAACGTCGCTAGGAACGTTCTTCAAGTGCTCACTGTTGATAGCGTTGACCTGTCACCAAGGACAACTTTTGAATCACCACCCTCAACCTTGGGATGCTCCCCCTTATACTACCAGTCCTTAATACTCCACCACAAGCCAATCCTTAATAGGGATTCTAGTACCCCCTATTTTCACCCCTCTTAAGGACTGTTAGTGCAAGGGGAACATCCCAGCCTAGACCCATCTGAACCTTGAAACATTGTACTCCGCTGCCTCCCTCTCGGTTGCGCTGCTTGTGAAGAGGGGGTTCTGAAAAAAGGTCCCGAAGCGCTCCAGGGCAGACCGCAAGCCAGCCGTACTGCAGCTGAAGAAGAAGCAGGTGTCCTTGCTAGGGTCGGCTTTTTGGCCATGCATGTTGACAAGCTCATCTCCGAATTGGCTTGCAAACGTCAGGCGATGGAACTTGATCCGTCCTCTGCCTCCGTGAAGGCATTCGAAGAGCCACTGTTCGCAGTCAGATACGCATCGAAACCTTACCTCTATCCATGCGGATCATCACGACTCTTACAAGGCTGTGACCTAAATACGCATTGAATGGCAAACTGAGAGACACCACATGATGTACCCTGAGACCCAAATGTCGAGGCGCTGCTCTCGTCTGGATACTGTTCCGTCCCGAGGAAGAGCATGTGCTCGCAGAAATGTGCTAGCCCTTGCACCTCCGGCGGATCGTTGAAGTAGCCTTCAGGCAGGGAAGGCGTTGCATCCCTGCGGCTTGTGGCCTTGGGGAAATATCTAAGAACCTGGGAGAGGCGAGGTCGACGTAGAGCATCACGACATACCGGCTTCCGCAAGTTAGCAGACTCTCGGGAAAGCCTACTAAAGTTACTAAAGCTTACCTAGGCCTGAAAAATTCCCACAGCTGCTGCAGCTTTTTGCTTTCGACACCCGCCAGGCCGACGTGAACGTCGAGTGCTGCAGCTGCACGGTCGGCCGCTCGATCGGAGCAGACCAGCACGCGAAGCCCATTCTGCAACGTGATTGGCTTGTACTCGCCTTCGGGCTGGAAGCTGCATGTCAAAATTCAATTGGACTGATTCGGGCGAGTACAAGTTTCAGCCTCCAGTGCAAAACTGGCTTCATGTAGCGAGCGGACCAGAAAAATCCCGACATCGAGTCTCCAAGTCAAGAGCCATGACACGATTGTCCAGCGGAGGTCTCTCCTTGCAACACAAGGTGCACAAGCATGCCAAAGACTCTTCGCATATTCTTCGCGCCGCTTCGAACCTCGAGCTTTCTGCTCTCACCTTCACCTTTCTCAATTGATCATGGAGTCTGGGGGAACTCACTGTCCGGGCACTCTTGCGCAAACTCTCTCACTCTTTCTTGTCCCTTCTCAGTCTTCGTGCGAGAGAACTCAGCTCAGCGGCCACGACGGCCAGCGCTGGGTCGGCTCGAGCTGCGCGAGCCCGGCGCTTCTCAGCCAAGGCTGCCAGGCCCGCGGCGGAAACCGCGGCGGAAACCGCGCCCCAGCGGCGCCTCTGAAACGAAAAGTGCTTTGGTTCGGTGCCGTTTGCAGGGCTCTGAGCTCTGCGTAAGAGCTCCTTCAAAAGCGTGCCTGAAAGGCACTGAGAGAACCCCCGAGGACTTCTTCGCGGCCCGCGCAGGGATCCCACAGCGGCTCGTTGAGCTCTCGGCGCCTGCCTCACTTCCCAGGGTCAAACAGGAGCTGCAGCTACAGGGAAGTGAAAGGAAGCCCTGGCAGCATACTCATGTGCTTTGCTTGCGTCATGCGGGTTCCAAAGTGCAGAACAATGACACAGCCGTCATGGCTCAGATACGCTCCGTTTGTGCGCCGAGGGTCTGCAACCCCAGATGACGGGCTCGCCGCCAGGCCTCTCACCCAAAGCGATCCAAAGCTACTCATCCGACATTTCTTCGCTCAGTACACAGAATCGGTCGAAAGAGACGCGCACAAGGCCTGTGCAGAAGCATGGACCATGATGCGGCATGGCTAAGATGGGCATTCGGAATCGAAACGCTCCAAACGATCAGAGGGGGCTAGGATCCAACCTATCAAAACCCCGTCGAGTCAAATGAGAATATTGAGTCTATTCTGTCCATGCGATGCAGCCCAGGCTGGGAGGGTTGCGGGTTCAAGGTTCGTGGGCATCTTGAAGCCTCAGAGGTACAGAATCTTCGTCTCATGTAAACCACGAAAACCAGTGCCTTCCGACATCGACATGTCAAACGTGCGAGCCAAATGGCCCTTTTCCCAGATTGTGGAGGAGAAGCCTGAAAAGCATGCTAAAACACAGCGAGACGAAGAGTATTTTAAGCATCGAAGAGTCCAAGGCAACTACCGTCTGATTGTCGACAATGAACCCACAACACTCCCTGCTGCGTGCTGTCTTCAGCAAAGTTCGTCGGAATGAGCATCGACTTGCTGTGCGGCTTGAGGCAAAGCGAGCCTGAGGCGAAGACGGCCTGGCCAAGACTGGCTCTGCGGCATTTTCCCGAAGCAGGTCCACAAGCCGCTTTGTTTGCTGGAGGGCAATTGCCAACCAGGGCTGCTGTCGTGTGCTGTCACTTTGTGAGCAGTAAGAAGACTCTACAAGTGCATAAAAGATTAACCGGCAGATGAACCTGAATCTTTCCAGAGAATCTTAGACTGTCCGGCACAAGTTTCAGGCATCCTTGCTCAGATGGCCGAACGACCAAACGAAGGGGCAAGCTCTTGCCGTGCGTGGAGGGCTTCCACTTGTAATTCCATCTTCTTTGTTAAGTTTAAGATGAGATGGAGGAGCTTCAGCATCTGCACCATGTGTAGAGGTATGTCTCGAACGATCATCTCCAGAAGGCCCTCGATAAACTCCTCCCTAGTCAACCTCAGCGTTTTCAGTCTCAAGCCGAGAATCAGGCAAGTAAAGCCATGAGCCAAGATGCTCCGCGGTTTGGTCCACCTAGGCAAGTCAAGCTGAATCCCTCCATCATTTGCTTCTTGAGATACTACACTTTACTACACATGGTGTAAGGCCCGAGGTGCGTCGAGATAATCAAAGAGCTCGATGAAACTGCCGACGTGTACCGTTTGAAGGAACTTCTGTGGAATAATATCAACGCCAACCGACAAAACCTCGTCGCGCGTTAAGATGCCACTGTTGTCCTGCACGAGGCAACCCGGAATCTTTGACAACCCTACCTCACCAACCCGGCGCCCTGGTCTGGTGTGTACAACGCAGCCAGCAGACAAACCTGGAACCCTGAACCCCAAAACCTTAACCGCCTTAACCTTTAACGCCTAAAGCAAGCGATGAAGCTTGAGGCTTTCGGGGATCCTTGTCGATGCTCTGAAAGATCTTCAGAAGTTCTGGAATGGCTTCCTGCGTGGCAGCAAGCGCTTTTCATGGACAGCTTGCTCATTTTCCCCAATTACGACAGTCCTTAGTCTAGGAACCCCCAAAGCGGGACCCCCGAATTCTCGAGCTCGATTCTTGCTTCAGCTACGTGCTGCAGAGCGGTCCTTGACCGTGTTCATCATTTCGTTCTTCTCTGCTTCGGCATCTTGAACCGCAGCTTGCATGGCATTCCTGGAGAACTTTTTGGCATCGGAGGGTCCCTCATGTTTCACGTGTATGCCTACTCTACTCTTGGGGTTCCCAGAAGAGGGCGGGGGGGGGAGAGACATGCAGCACCTGGAGTTTGTGAGCATTGCATCTGGGTGCTGCCAAAGCAGCTCCAAAACTGCTGCAGTCACGAGGTTCATCAGGCCGATAGAGACCACTACAATCAAGCCCAAGAAGAACAGGGAGAGGTAGGGTTTGAGCATGATCCTTGAGGAGCGCCCAAGCATCACTGACTCCAAAGCTTCAGAACTAACTTTAAGAAAGAAGCACAATTACTTGGCCGGCCGTTTCATGCACAAAAAGGAGAGCCATTTCGAGGTAAGGAGCAAAGGAAAGTAAATGCTGGCTACTGAGTCGAGAGTTACGAACTGCATCAATGTGATCAGCGACCGGTCGATGCCACGGAAGTGCCTGAGATCGAGGCACGACTTTTGCCAGCTGTGAACCCTTTCAGGTCAATGAACCAAGATCCATGTCGTCATACTTCATTACATCTGACGCACACTGTACAGGAATGCGCAGGCTTGACAGCCCCTTGTAGATTCGTGAGCATAGGTTGGTTAGTTGATGTTTTCGTTGTCACTTTGGCACCCAGACTTCACGACTGCCATCCGCCATGCGTAAACACTCTTCGTATCAGCACTGCACCTAAGCAACTGAATTACTGCATTGCAAATATTTCCATCTCACTCCGTGCAATTAACTGTGCGCTGCACTTCGTCTAAATCCCCGCATATCCCCGCTAGTCTCCGATGTTCCAAGAACCAATCGTCTGAGGGTGCTTATTCACGCGTCTCGCGTCACATGCCCCGAGGCGTCTCGCGTCACATGCCCCGAGCATGGAATCCATCATCTTCATCTCCAAAAACCTAGATTTCAGAGCCTCCGAAGCCTACGTTGTCTACAAAAATCCGCCATGCGTTCCCGCCCATTCATGCGTACAGTGGGGCACCAAGGAACACTGTAGAACACTTGTCCAGGAACCTGGACCGCTAAACTGCAAAGCTCGTGGATCGTGCCATGACGCCGGGGCACATGTTCACAATCGGGCCCGTCGTCGAATCGCTGAGCAGATCATTGTCTTTACCGATCAACTCCACGGCAACGCAAGAACAAACAAACAAGCTGACCAAGATCAAGATGGTGGTTGAAGCAATCGTCTGCCCAGCTGTCAGAAGACCGTAGACCAGTCGCCAGATCACCTTGTGGAAACTATAGAGGGTAGAGAAGGATGACTGCGTAAGTCTGAGGCTTGCTCCACACTCTGTTTGAAGCCTGATTGTCGATGGCTTAGAACATACTTCACATACTTCTATGATATCTGGCATAATAAGAATGCACAGAATCAAAAAAACAAGATTCAAGAAACAGCACAAGCAACGACACGAAAATCAAGCAAGATGAAAAGCAATGTGAACCGTCCACAACAAGGCCATGGTGTGGCTAAAGCCTTCTGTTCATAAGGATCCTTCAGAGGGGAGGGGGGGGCGAGGGTGTCCAGAACGACGTTCACGTGCCCCCTAGCATCTGAAACATCAATGACTACAGCGACTTCAACTATCGCATGCTCGGACGGTGCAAAAGCCGCAAAGTCGAAGCCAATGGCCTTGAAATGGTTGATCATCCGCAGGGCCCTTACTAGGCGCAGTAGTCGGAGACCACGGACGATGAGGAGCTTCTCCGCCGCCAGGGCATCGACACCTTGCGCAGAGGTCCACGGCACAGAATAATAAATAAATTGTCAAAATACGGTCTATATTCTATATATATACATATATATATGCTACCCCCCCCCCAGCGACCTACCCTTTTTAGGCCTTTTTAGGCCTTTTTGACAAAACATAACAAAGAAGGCCCAAAAGTCGCGTAGTTAATCACGGGGTAATGAAGGACAGTTACTGGGACACCCACCTCACAGACCCCGATAAGCTAGCATTGGAAGAATCTACATTTTGAATCTGAAGCGGACAATGCTGTTTTTAGATGTTTAGATCAGTGTTTTTCTATGCAAATTGTGCGTTTCAAGGGCAATTAATGTTTTGTTGAGCAACTAATCTATTTATACAATTGTGTTTGTACGAGGCAAAGTATTAATCAAATAGTGAAACATTTTTCTTGGTTCTATGCGAATTTAGCTACTAGAGTAATTTTTAAGCAAAGAGCCCAATTTGACTCAAGTGAATACTATTTAAAGGAGCATACTCAACCAAGATACGAAATAAACACCATTTTCAACCAAAAAATGGCAAAGTGTGCGTTTAAAGTGCAAATACTGTATTTATACAATTGTGTTTGTACTAGGCAAAGTATGCTCTCTGAAAAGTCCACTGAAATACCATATGTTTACATATTCATGAATCGTTTTCTTTTTGAAATAATCATTTTATGCGAATTTAGCTACTAGAGTAACTATTAAGCAAATAGCCCAATTTGACTCAAGTGAATACCATTTAAAGGACCATACTCAACCAAAATACGAAAGAAGCACCATATTCAACCAAAATATGGCAAAGTGTGGTTTAAAGGGCAAATAGTGCTTTGTTGAGCAACTAATGCATTGAAACAGTTGTGTTTATACCAGGCAAGGCATTATTGAAGTACTATCTGCAAAGTCAAATGAAACACCTTATGTTTACATATTCATGAAACAATTTTTTTGAAGTATTCATTCTATGCGAATTTAACTACTAGAGGAATTCTTAAGCAAATAGCCCAATTTGACTCAAGTGAATACTATTTAAAGGACCATACTCAACCAAATACGAAATAAACACTTGCGGAAATGGAAACGGTTCTACCTACATAACAATGAGACAAAGATTGCTGAAGTATTCACTAAAGACCACTTATATACTATGTCTGAAAAGCACAATTTGCATGAGCAAGCTTAAAGATGCACAATAATGGAAATAGAAGCGGTTCTACTTACATAACGATGAAACAAAGATGTCTGAAGTATTCAATAAAGACCACATATATACTATGCTTGAAAAACGCAACTTGCACAATCAGGCTTAAAAAATGCACAAGAATCCTAGAAAAGTACTTAGTGAAGGCCATACACAAGCAAATTCACAAATACATAAAAACATCCAAAAGCGCAAGCTTTTCAGGAGAATCTCTGGTAAAGTTTGGATTATAGGGTTTTGGGGTATTCCTGGACGAGTAGGAGTCACTTTTTAAGCAAACAATTCTAAGCAATAAATGCTTTTTCTCAAGACAAGTATTGCAAATGCTGCTTCTAGATAATTAATCGCATTTACCAGGCAAATATTATCCATGCGAATTGAGCTACCAGAGCACCAAGTAATGGCTGAATAAGGCCTACTACACTTGAGTACAACCAAAAGATGCACTAAACACTAGCGGCTCTACTTACATAATAACGAAACAAATAGTTCTGAAGCACTAGAAAGACCACTTGTATACTATTTCTGAAAAGCACAACTAGCATAAGCACACTTAAAAATGCGTAGTTGTTGCCTCGTGACCGTGAAGGCGAACCAAAAAGCCAAAATACCAAAACCAAAAAACCAAAAAAAAACAAAACCCAAAAAAACAAAACCGAAAAAAACAAAACCAAAAAAAACAAAAATACCAAAAAAAACAATTTTCCGGGACTCTTGGAGAAGCCTCATAGGGATTTCCTGAGAGTCCCGGAAAATTTTTTTTGGTTTTTTTGGTTTTGGTTTTTTTGGTTTTGGTTTTTTGGTTTTTTTTGGTTTTGGTATTTTGGTTTTTCTACTGTCCCATGTATGCGATTTTAGTTGTATTTTAGTCTACGCCCTAGGAAATACGCTATATTGCACACCGAGTTTGCTTGCAGTGCAGCTGGGTGACTTGAGACAAGGCGAAAAAGGGTAGGTCACTGGGGGGGGGGGGGGGTACCATATATATATATATATATTTATTTATTTATTTATTTTATTTATTTATTTGTTTATTCGTTTATGTATTTTCTATTTATGATATATAGTCTAATATACATAGATATATATATATGTATTGTACAAAATATAACATATTATATTGCATGATATGATACTTGATTAACATGAAATTATACAACATTATCTTATACTATATTAAAACAAAATAGATGGATAGGATATTATATTCCATTACATCTGTTTATTGTGTGCTACAGTACATCTCTTTATATATATGTATATATATATATACATATGTATATGTAGATCAACCGGGCGGTAGACATTGAAGTGCAGCGGCATATTCAGATGAACTGCTGGTGTCCCCTCCCTGCTGGGCCTGCCAGCGGCAAAAAGAGGAGAGCCGCCCAGCCGATACAAACAAGAGTGAAATCCATCAGAAACCACGGGTCCTGAGAACAAAGAAGCAAGTACGGCCACTTGTAGCCCTTGCAGCGGTGAATCGCGTTGCCAACTTAGTAGTTGCAGGCCCCCAACGTCCTTAAGAGCAGCGCAACCTCCCGCGATGATTCTGAGAACGATCTCGACACCTCAGACTACGACAATGCCAACCCTGTGGAGCACAGTGGCAGCACGAAGAATATTACTTGAGGAGCCAGCAGTTGACAATGCAAAAAGAACTCTAAAAACTCAAGCAATGAGCAACTGTGGTGCAAGTGCTTTGTTACCGAGCTGTGCGTCATCGCTACAAACTGGCACATATTGCAACATACCTCACGCTACCACCAGAGAACCTGACTCATGACGAATACTTGCCCTCTTAACTAATCAAAGAAACAGATATCATGCTTGCATCGAGTCATCCTCACCCTGACAGACCTGACAGAAGATGACATAACTCCCTTTCGGCATGTCCTATGAAGTAGCGTTTGGCAGTCACTACTTGTGATTGGAGTCCAGAAAGGGGAAAACCGAACAAGCTCAGGTCCAGGGCACTGTAAATGAGAAGGAAAAGCCTTTCCGCGAACCAAGGCCACGTGTACTCAGCGAATTCCAGCTGGTCCAGGTTGAGAGATTCTTGTGCCTCTATGCCGATGACAATCATGTTGGCCAAGATGACCATGCCAGCCGCGTACTCGAAGGTGTTTGAGTTGACCATCTTGGCAATCTTCTGCCGGCATGTCTGAAAACTTTCAACACCTCGCGCAGCTTCCGATCCCAGATGTTCCTGGAGGCCCTGGGGCAACATGACATGGGAACTTCCCACCATAAGGGGGCACCTTTTTATTCCCCCAGACGGAGTAGAATCCCATTTAAAGGGACCCCCCCAAAAAGGGTACTCCTATCTTCGGAAGCCCCCCACATCCCAACCCCTCAACTGCCATGTCATGTAACGTCACGTATATACGACCAGCCTTCTCCACGAGTTCCTTGAGCTTCGTAGATGTTTCGGATCTCAACGGATTGTGCATCAAGCTATGCAATCTGCCCTCATCTGCGGGTTCCGGCGGCGCTGTTCCGCCACTACTAGCCACGACCTGCGAGGCTCAAGGCTGCGTCAGCCCTCAACTTTAACACAGGAACTGCTGGTCACTAGTCCGACAGCATCATCGCAGCATCATGGTGGACATTCCAAGCAAGCAGAACAAGCTGCCTCGCAATCGTCCCCACTCAACGGAGGGATCTGCGGTGTTGGTGAGATCTGCTGATCCAGCTTGTGCCCGGATTTCTGCAAAGGACTTCACCAACATCTCTGGCAGCTTCGTTCCCTATAGGACACTCAGGCGAAACGCTGAAAACCCAACCTCTCTCCGGTACTGGAGATGGTCAATGCTGCCAATGCGTTCAAGGATGGAATCCAGGGAAGATTGCCAGCCTTTCGGAAATTTCAGGGATCCCGGCAAGACCCGTGATTTGAACTTGTTCTGTCGTGTCCGAACCCGCCTTCATATTGACGCGCGAGCAAAGCCAAATTGTCAGCAGAAGCCTTTTGCTGCTGCTGGATTTGAACAAGCTGCTGGGCCACATCCTGTATCATTGTAGAGGCCTGCTGTGCCATCTGGATGTGCAACTTAACTGAGCAGAGTCTGCCTTGCGCACAAGCAACGTCTGAGAAGCGGACGGACTTTGCTACCAATCTACACACTGCAACCAGGGCAAGACATTGAACACAACAGCTTTCGTTGCGAGCAGATAAACAGTGTCCGCAAGCGCATCTAGTTCCAAAGTGCACAAGCGGCAACTCACTTTTGCCTTTCATGACCAGTCGGACAACTAGGTAGTGTAGCAGTTGCACTACGGTGGCGGGCAACTTGCATCAGACTTGTTCTGAGTAGAGCTCATTCCGAATCACAGCCCCGTCATCCTGAAATCATCACATCCACACAAATACATTGCATTCATACACATGTTCTAGGTTTCCGCCACGCTTGTCTTCAACACGGGTCCGCACGGTTCCCCTCCATCAAACCCCCCTCGTTCGACCTGTTTCTGACGGAAGCATCTCCGAGAGTCAGACTTCAGAGCAGACCCTGTAGTTCCGGGCTGCATTTTGGGGCTTTGGGCTACGAGCCAAAGCCTGGGAGCGTAGGAGACTTTAAGGGTTTCGTCGCTTTGCTATTGGGCAAGGTTTTGGTCTGATCTGAACTTAGATCGAGGCACCCGTCGCAGACCGTTTTCATCAGGCACCCTGCCCGCTTCACCAAGGGCCCCAGCCTACCGGCGCGAAATGAGCTTTTCAGGTCTCACTTGGTTCCTCCAAGCCCTGTAAGAGTCATCTACCTGCTCCTGCGAAGTACCTTCAACCACCCGGGAGAAAAATGCACACAACACTGCAAAAACAGGCAACACACACTGGCTCAGCCGGACAAGTTGCCCTCTTTTTCTTGAACAATGCATGGGTGGCAAAATCCCAGTCTAACACAATCGTTCTGGCAGCCTGCGCTCCGTTCGAAGAGCAGTTGTGCATTATCCTGAAATGTCTGAGGATTGCTATGGAGATTCTCCACAAGGTCAGAACAAGGCCAGCGTACGTTTTTTTGGCCGGCTATGCTACGTTTGTTCCGGAAAGGTTGAGGCCGATGATAATAATACTCGATGTTCTTGACAACCTAGGTTCGCATGTAAACGACGGATATCTGCCAAAAGTCGCCAGAATCTGGTTTGCACAGCCCCGGTCGGAGGGTTTCTGACACCGAGCAGCAGTTCAACAGCTTCATTTACAGAGGATCACGGGTCAATGCTCATCCAACCGTGCTTACATCCAAAAACCTGATTGCGAGAAGCCGCAGCAAAGCACGTCGCAGCCGGAGCCTTTTGTTTGGAGACTGGAGCTCTCCAGAGTGGAGCTACGTCTGGGTGAGAGAATGCGGCACTACACGTGAGATGGCGGCTTGGTACTTCATGTGGGTGCCCCATGGCTCCCTGAGCTAAGGGGACAGGCTGCTTCTCTATGATGACCGATTGAGGCATCTGAAATACTCCTCCTGCGCGGCGCCGTGCTGCGAGGCTTGGGCTCCCGTTGCGCACAAAGCATCTATGGCGGAGTTGGCTAAGCTCAATCTCTCGCCTGAATCTCATGGCTGAGTGAAAAAATGCACAGCGCCCAACTAGTCTGTTCCTCTGAATGATGTACATGCTGTGCCTGCCCTACCTGCCAGCATACGTTGCCCTTTAAGGCCCTTGAGGCCCTTAAGGCCCCTCAAGACCCCTTAAAGCCCCTGAGCCTTAAGGCCCCTTAAGGCCCCCTAAAGGGGAAGGGGGGGGGGTAGGTCGAGGGGGCTGCTTCGGAGCTGCATTGGCAGACCCAGCCATGAGGACCTCTCGGAGGCGGAAAGCGCCCGAAAGCGTTTACAAACTAATGGGGGCTCTCCGTGGCTCTCCCCGGCTCTCTGAGGTCTGTCTCGAGAAGCTGTGAAAGCTGGTGAAAGCTGCTATTTGCATTAGAAATCTTAAGAACCCCAAAAGACACATAAAAACAATAATCCTCATCTTACCCTTATAAGGAAGAATCTTTTTCTTGGGGGGGGGGGGGGGGTTCTCAAGCAATTCCTAGAAAGTCATTGTATAGATTCTAAAATATCGCATCTTTGACTCGGACAGACCAATCTTCACAGGGTGACACAGTACAGTCCCGAGAGCAGCCTGGCGTGCCAATGTGGCAATGCCAATGTGCGGCCAGTTCCATATTCCTATTCTGACGAAAAGCAAATGATGGAGTTCGCGCAAGATCCGTGCAAGCATCCCAACTTTGCCGCACCGGCATGGCAGGCTATGGGCAGTTAAATCACCGGCTCCGAAAGACAACAAATCCCTCTGGGAAAGTGGCAGTACTCGCAGCATCCCTCGACAAAGAATTCTTCTTCGCCTTGTTCGCCCTGAAACAGCTTGAGAAGACGCAAGCCAAGGCAGGCCAACAACAAAATCCTCAGCGTAAGCCGCGAGAGCACTGCGCAACTTTACCCGGGAGCAAAGAGCAAGCTTGAACGACCTGCTTGTTTTAATGGTATCTTCCAAGTGCAAGACTCCAGACTCCGGGAGAGTCCCGACATGGCCCAGAGTGCCACGGATACTGGCTGATCTGCACATGAAGCAGAAGCATGTTGAGTGGTTTCTCTGCCGTCGTCTCGGAGGGGGGGGGAAACTAATGGGGGATCTCTAAGCTCTCGGTCTCCTGAAGGACTAAGCGTGGTGTTTGGGTGTTTTTGTTGAAAGCATCTGCAGGTGACCTACAAGACACTGAGGCCCAGGCAACTCAGCATGACTAGTCCAGTCTGGGAGCTGGAATGCTATTGTCAACTTTAAGAGAACCTGCGCCACAATGGTGGGAAGAGAAGGTGCAGTGAATTTGAGGCGCAGCATCTCGGCATCGGAAAGGATGTCGCACCTAACGGACTGGATAGGACCGACTTTCAAGTTTCCGACAAAAGTCTGCGAAGCCTGACAAAACCCAGCCTTCAGGCCGCAATTATTTCGGCGGATATCACTGTCTCCTGTCAGTCTCTTCACAACAGCGGATTTCAGTGGCGAGACGTGGACAGAAAAGCAGAAACTGATGTCGGAAGTAAGCCAGCTCAGTTGCACGAAAAGCTCGGTAAGGATCTGGCTGAATGACCAGCCAGGGTCTGCAAGCATTCGCCGGTTCTCGAACTCCAGACCCTGATCACGTCCAGGAACTAGTTGAACAAGCACCGAAAGCTGAAGCAAAGGTCTGCGAAACGCCCGTGAAACAACTCCACTCCACTTGGGTTGTGGCAGTGAAACTCAGACGTAGACATAGCGATGTCGTTCTTTTGTTTTTCCGGTGGCAAGGATTTACTCAAACCGCTGACCTTCTAGCCTTCCAGAACCTGGTGCTCCAGCAGAGCGTGAAATGATGGAATTGGAGGTTGGGTGAACGGCCCGAAGACGATCCGAAAGACCCTCTTCTCGCCAAATAGAGCGATCCCACAAAAGGCGGCGCACAGAGCCACACAGAACTCGAATCAAAAAGGCTCTCAAGCACCTCAAGAAGCTTTCGCTCGCCCTGCGAGCCTTTTGCCGGGCTTGCAGCTTGTGGTCCGCGTGCACACAATTGACCAAGGATACGCAAGAAGACAAAGCACGAAGCTGTTGGGTTTCTGAAAGATGCTGATGCAATGGATGTAAACCAATACCCAGAGACTGGGTTCCACCCTTTAGCCGAAAAAAACACCATGCATCTAGAACCTATCCGGAAGAATGATGAAGCACGCGTGCACCCCATGCAACTCGCACGCCCCTGTGCATAGATAGCGTTGGCTGCGCAACTACGTTGGCTGACAGATATCCAGTGCCTCGCCGTTCCATCATAAGAGGCGGAGGCAATGAGCATGCCTGAAGAAGCAACGCTGGTCACCACTGCGCTGCATGGCACTGCTCTGCGTGCTGCTGTGAGCTCCGAGGCCAGCACCGTCAGGTGAGAAGTTTGCCGTTCTCACCCAGTCTTCATGACCATCCAAAGTCATGATGCACTCGCCTCGCAGAGGAATCTTGCTGCAGGACACAGGAGGACACAGGATTACGCACGGCTCAACAAAGAAGGCAACTCACCGAAGCCCATAAGAGCCTTCTGACGGCTAGGGGAGGCCTGTTTCGATTCAAAAACCTGAGAAAATTGAAACCCTGCGCCTCGAAATGCTGACACCTTCTAGGGGCAGGCAAACTCGACGGCTCCCTGCAAGGCCTGTAGTTGCACTTAGTAGTCGGACACACTCCGTGCCCGAGGCAACGAGGATCATTGCTCCTCAGATGTTTTCAACAGCTTCTTTTATCATGAAGATGCATTGTTGAGGCTTGATGGGGGGCATCCCTTGAATGGACATGCTGCTGCCTAAGGCCTGTCCCGTACCCTCCTTTTTGCGAACTCTCCAGCAGCGCCGAAGTGCACAAAAGGGCAGCCCTCGAACTAGACGTGAGCACGGCCAGTAATCCACACATCCTCCGTTCTCACCCTGCTGGGAACTCACAGTGTCCAGAGTGCTTGGGCTTGCGAGGACAAATCTCCGGAGCTCAGAAGTATGTGCTGCTCAGCTAAGCAGTCCCCAAGGAACCCGAACCCTCCATCTCAGAACATAAACGTGACCTCCAGTTCCCAACCACCACTTGAGGAGCGTGCCGTCCGGCGAGAATTGAGCCGTGTTCACGACCTGTCGGAAGAGAAGCTCCGGGAAGCTCTACACCGTGCGTGGGTCTTTGGAGGGCGCAGATAGATACCACGAGTACTTTTTCAATCATTGAACCTTGGAAACTTAAAACGTCAAAAGGACAGCTGCAACTTTGGAACCTCAAAGTTTGAAACTTTGAGGAATGAAAACGACGACCGACCTGGAGCTTGAAAGTTCGGCGCTTGCAAGTTTGGATAGATCTTCTGAGTTCGACAATTTGATGCGAGAGGGAGTTTGAAAGTTTGAAAACTTTAAGCTCAACCGCACGAAAACAAGAGCAAACACGGCGGGGAGGACTTCCCAGCTCGAAAGCTTCAAGGGCAGTTCGAAAACTTCTTGAGCTCGAAGAATGCGAAGTTTCAGAGGTCGAGAAATACAAGCTCCGATAAGGTCAGGAATTTGAAAGCTTGAGGCTCTGCGAGTTTGAGAGTCCGGTGTTCTCGAGCTTCCAACTCGGCATGTTCGGCCTTTCGAAATCCGTTATCTCTCAAACTCTCGATTCGAGCCCGAACGTCTTCGAACCCTCAGACTCTCAACTTCGAAGGACGTCACTCGTGACGCCGTTCGTTTAGGTTAAGCTGCAGCCTGTGGTAGGGCACTGAACAATGCTACAGAAAAAAACCCGCCCAGAATGTCTCCAAGGGGTGTCCGACCGGAGCAAGCTGCTCTCTGGCGGCTGTCGCTGGGTGACCAGGGGCACGGCGAATGGGACATCACAGGACAAAAGGCACATCAAACAACTGCAAACACGAAGTAGATGCTCTTTTTGGATACCGCATCCCCGAACAGGAAAAGCGGAATCATTCACAGTAATTTGAGGGTGTTAAGTGCGCTGCAAGCAGCAGTGCTGTGTCTAGGCAGAACTCGGCAAGGGGGCTAGTCCCCAATATGATGCTCTTCCTTTACGCCTTTCGACTGCGCACTGCGCCTTAGGGAAGGTACCCAGCCCAATGCAAGCCCTCCCAGTAAGCGCCCAGCTTTATTGTCAGCATGAATCACCAGGTTGCAATCGCCTGCAGCATTCACTTGAGTACACCCCAACGCATGCCAAAAAATGCAGGGCACACCAGCCCGCATGCTATCATGTTTTTGCCAGACGTCCCCGCCCACCCCCACCACCCCCCCCCCCTCCCTCCCCCCCCCCCCCCCTCCCCACCTACTCCCCCCCCCCTCCCCCCCCCTCCCCCCCCCTCCCCCCACATCCGCCCCCCCTCCCCTCCCCCCACCCCCCCTCCCCCGCCCCCCCCCCCCCCCCCCCGCCCCCCCCCCCCCCCCTCCCCCTCAAATAGCATGGTTTCACCTCACTCCATGGCAGGTGCACCCTCTTTCGTGGAGCGCTTCGGAACTACAAAACTACAACACTAAGCAGGAAGGCTCTCAAGCTTGAGGAAGAATGTAGAAGCCCTGTGCCAAATCGACCCCACCAGGGTCGGGTAGCTCTAAGGACACGTCTCTTCGAGCTAACATTTCCACAAAGCTAAGGCGTGGAACACGGAGCAAGTCTCAGCAAGAGAGCTTTATATAGAGTCAGAAGTAGCAAGCAGCGATCTCTCGCAGCATGTGAGACCTTGCCTTCGTCTGCCTCCCACACACGAACCGTCCCATCAAAGGACGTGGTGAGGTACCTGACTTACAATCAGATTGTAGGCTGCTGGGCCTGTTGCATAGCCTGCAACGTACTCTCCTGAACACGTTGAACTTGGTGACGGCTTTCAAGCTACGTCTTGCATGATATGCCAAGTCAGATCTGCTTGTCCCGATCAGATCAACTTTGACAGCACTTTGAGCAGCCCGCAGTGTATCGTCCGGGGAGAAGGCTGCACTATTGACAGCCTGCCAGCACTATCAGCACTACCCTGCGGTTGGGCTTGCAGCTGTCTGAAAAAACTGAGGCCAAGGGCTCCAGAGAACCTCTAGAAAAACTGACCCCTTGACCATCAAGACATACCAAGACCTGTCAAAGCCTACACATTTCCACACATTTCCCCGACATGTCCACACATTTCCAGAAGCACATTCGTTCCCCGGGTCTGTCCTTGGCGTGGCCCTGCAAAACTTGCAGGCACTCCCCAGTTCCAACGTTCCAAACCTCAAAGTTTGGCAAGTGCAGAGGGTGCCCCCCCTACCGAGCAAGATACCATGTTAGTGAAGGGACTTCGCATGGCTTTGCACTTGCTGCGGACTTACAATCCTGCGAGAAAAATGAGCCACAAGCAAGAAAAGCATCGCCGGTTGCACATGTTTCACATAGGCGCACTTGCCGAAAGCTATCAATCATCAGACTGAGCTCTTCTCCCGCGCAGTTCCGTCCATGGACGCCGTGATGATGCGCAACCCGTCAAAGGAGAACATTGCTGATTTCACCTCAGCGACGAAGGCTGAGCTAAAAAGGGTCCAGGCCTGACACCCTCTAAGCAACGCATCCTCCGACTTTGGTGACATTCACACCGCTGCTCTTGAGACTTCAACGGAACTCCATGCTGTAGTACGGCCCCACGGCCCCCATTGTAGGGTGTCAAAGGGCAACTTCGTGGCTCTGAGGCCACTACCACGTCGTCATGTCCAACCTTCGAAAATTTCAGAAAAAGTTGTGCCAAATAAAACAATGAAGGCCCGTCTCTTCGGCAGATACAGCTCCCAAGGGCGCAAGTCCGAGAACACGAGGAATCATGCTGGAAAGAGAAACATTGGGCCGCTGGCAAAAGATCGAAGTCTACTTCCATCTGCTGCCATCCAGAGGCCAGCGGTACCTGGACACCACTTCACAGCACAACACATGTCATGCTTCATCACGAGAGGCCTTCGAATTAGCAGACCTTCGACATGCTTCGAGCTACGTTAACGTCTCATCGCATGCTCTGTGGTAGCATCATTCAGTCTGTCGGTGCCGCACCATCACAGGAAGCTGTGACGACCAGTGAGGCATCCGGGGAGAAAGCAGCTGACTTAACCTGGAGGCAAGGGTGCTGTGACCTACACAGATCATCTACTAGGCGCGCCGTGAGTGATAAGGGCAGGTGGCACGAGTGAGCTTTGAGTGCATGATTTCTTTGCGTGGATTACTTTTCACTCAAAACGAGCAGGCATGGCATCGTCATCATGTCCGGAGAGGACTTGCGAGCATTTGCCCGTCTCGGCACTCCAAACCTGGCAATGCCAGTATGGACAACGTCCAAGGAGGATGAAAGTTTGCGACTTGTGCTGTTTCGTGACAACGGCTTGGAATCTCTGGGACTAAGCAGCTTGGCAAGGAAGACGATGACAAATGACACTCAGAAAATACGTGGCTAATGGCCATGGAGATCTGTGCGGGAACACAGCTGGCAAGCTGTCTGCAACTACGGATGCGTGTGTGGCACGGTTGTATGGACGTATGCATGTCAATGCGTAGACGGCACTGCGCCGGAAACATGCCAAGGGAGCTATAGCGGTGCAATCATCGGATGCACCCGTAATCCATTTGCTATCGGCTGAGAACTCACCCGACCTCAGATGCTCACTGCACCAAAGCTTGACTTGACAAACCCCTCTATGGCAGCGCTCTATTCCCAGAATCTCTCATCTCGTGGCCTCAGAAGACATCTGAAGCAGCCGAGCGGCAAAACACCTCCAGCCTGTCCACTAAGCTCACAGAGAAGCCGTCCACTCTCTGGACACCTTTGGTAGAATGCATCCACGAAGACAGGCATCATCAAGGATCATCAAGAAAGCAAGCATGGTCCGAGCTCCCTGCCATAGCTTGCCTTCGCCATCCAGCGACACTGTGAGCAGGATCAAGCCGTCGTGCGAAAATGTTGCAGACTGGACCTCGCCATGATCGGTTAGCCCGCTTTGCAACATTCACCTGACGTGAAGCTCCCTTTAGAGCTCTTCCAGCGCGTGCCTGCCCTCCTCGTCGCGCTACCAGCATTTTCCGGCAGTCACCACTTTGCAAGTACCTGGCAGCATACTCTCGGCAGCAACCCTTCACAACGACTCGAGGGGCAAGCCGAGGCCAACGAAAGCCAGTCCAAGTGCGTGACGTGGGCGCCAGTGCACTGCAGGGCGGCACTGACAGTTACGCGCGCACACACGCACGCGCCCGCGCGCACGCATGCACGCTGGGAATGTGCACACTCTGCTGCTGTTGCTCTTGCTTCTTGCGGATGGAGTCCATCCAAAAAGAACAGGTTCCCTGGAAACAGTCAATTTGGCCCCCACCCCCCGCACCCGCAAAGAAGAAGCTTCCTGTGAAACGTTCAATATTGCCCCCTCCCCCCTCACCCATGCCATGATAGAATGAATAGCTCGCAGCTTTCCGAACCATGTCCGACCCTACCCGCCAAAGAAAGACTAAACTCAAGCCCAGCTCCACGAGATTTCATGACAATACCAAAAAGAAACAATAAGGCCTTAAGACCTGCCATGCATTTCTTCAGCCGCAAGAGATTCATGCTGACATCATGGCTCGATCAGCCGGTGTCCGATCACATGCTTCCCTCAACCAGAGCCCTAAACCATCAACCCTCCACCACGGCACAGCGGACGTAGGGTGTCCCATCAACTCAGGCCGGGCCCACCATATTCTCGCAGTTCCGTCGAAGGACGCGGTCAGCTGCGAAAGCGAGGACAGTTTGCGAGCATCCACTCTGTAAAAGCATGCGCACCGATTTGAAGCTTCAACCTGATGCTTCCACTTCTACTTTGAAGATGTTGGCTCCGAATCTGAACTCTGCGTACCCACAAGCCCCTCGAAACCACGATGCCATGCGTGCCACAACCTGGCGTGTCTGAGACTCCCACGCAGAGCAAGGGCGTCTGAACCAGGAAGACCGTGTCACCATCTACGAGGCCTCAACAGAGTCCAAGCAGCGGTGCTCTTCTTTGGAAAACGATACGACGCAGGCCTGTGGCCTCTGTTTTTTCTCAACCCCGAGAGTACCAACAACACGCCAGAAACGCCAGGATGCAACACTTAGAACGGACCATAGCTCCCGCAAGACAAATTTCGTTGCTCCCTGGAGATTTGCACTGCTTGCGGTTTCGCACATGAGACATGTTGGTACTATCACTTGAGCTCCAAGGCCTCTTGTGGGCTCTTCGGAAATATTGGCCAGCCGAAGCTTCGTGCTCGCCAGCAGGAAAGAGAGACATGCTGGTCAGCAAGGAAGAGGGATTTCATGAGCACATCCAATCCGAAAGCTTAATCCAAAAATCAAAACGCACATCAAGACGAAGACCAAAGAGAAGGTGGGTATCGGTAACATGAGGTAGTTCTGAGCCAGTAGGAGGAGCACAATGTTGGTAGCGAATGGTCGACCAGGCTCCCGACCGGAGTCTCGGAGGCTGACCTTCTCATCCAACACCTCGCAGCTATATCCACGATCAGCACCAAACACCCAGCACACGTAAACCAGCGCACAGAAGCCTGCAATTTGCCTGCAAGACTGAACGCAGACGGGCGCAGCGTCAGACCCGGTCGGAAGCAGTCCCTGCGGCGCCTGCGACTGGAAGAGGAAGTGGAGAGCGACGCCTCCGTCACCTTGAAGCAAGTTGCAAGCGGACCTTTCCAAGGCCTTTCCCCACACCCCCCCTAAGCACTCCGTATGTGATAGTGCTCCTCGCTAAGGTTCTTTAAAGAGCTGAAGGATGAAGCGTGGATCTTAGGGATGCAATGAAGACCTGGGCTCCATACCGGTAGCTCTCAGCACATGTTCTCGTAGGTAGGCAGGCGTGTCTGACGGTCGTGCTCGTACCTGGCAGTCTACCAGCAGCTGTTGCAAACAAAATGCTTCCACAACCTGTCACAACCAGGCCATTGAACGAGCAAAAACTCTCAAGCTCCATATTTATGGACAGCATGATGGCGCATGAGGTCATGGCACATGATTGCACTTAAAAATCCATGTGGGTTCTGTTGCCGCGGCCGCACCACTGTGAGCGTCTCGCCACTTACAGCATGCCGAACCGAGATCGAAAGCTCCTGTGAAAGGCAGTCGGAACTGACAGCCGCGAGTCACCAGACTTGTCGGAGTCTGCGATCATCCAGTACGCCTTTTCCACCGCCCTAATTATCTTGGCCAACTGTTCGTGCAAACATTACCCCAGCACAGACATCTGCCCCAGCTGCGGTCCTTGCCGACCTCGTTCTCCAGCTCTGCAAGCTTCGTCCTCACATCATCGAGCGTATCCTCCAGGTACTGCTTATACCGAGTTCCAGGGACTTTGCGTATGCCTGCAGTTTTGCATTAGTATTGGAAGAATACACACCATGCGTCCTGCTCGACGCCTGCAGCCTCTGCACGCTCCACCGCCAGCCGCAGGTTCTCCAACGGGTCGTGCTGAGCCTTTTATTCTTGAATGGGTGCGGACATCTGCCATCCGATCCCACCACGATGAGGTGTCAAACAACAGATCTGTGATTCTGCGTGTCACTTGCGGACCTGAGAGAAAGCACCGATGATGATGCCCATGACCTGCCCCATGGCTACCTCACCAGGACAAACCTACGCAGCCTACAGAAGACTCACAACAAACACCAGCAACTCAAGCAGTCCCTCATTGCTTGGCAGCCATCAGCTGGGCACCGTGCAAGACGGCAGCGGCTGGCACAAGGTGCACACAGCCTGCAAGCTCGGCTCTATGCACGCTATGCCCCCTACGCGCTCCTTAAGCTCTCACCACGAACTCAACCCGCCATCGGGCAAATACAGCCCTGTACAGCCGGCCTTGTCTTGTCGGCAGGAGCGGTCTATCTATCTCTGTATGTAAAAGGCATGCTCACTGTGGAGCCGCCAGCAGCTGCAAGGCCAAGCACAGGTTGAGGGATGTTGTCACGAGCATCCCCTCCCTCAATGTGTTGCACAGCTGAAACAGTGCCCAACCCTTAACAATCGCGAGATCCCTTCAGTTGGCCGCACAGTGGTCTCCACACCAAGACATCAAGAAGTCGGCAACACGAACTTAATGCGCTCAAACTGCAAGGAGGGTTCGAGGACACCAATGGCATACGCACAAATGACAATGTGCGGCCTGGCTTGTGACGCGGAGGAAACTGGGCACGCCATAGCCATAAGACGCGTGTTATTCCAATTTCTTGCCACGCAACCGACGCAAGCTGGAGTTCGCCTGCAGCACCGGTCCTGCGCATTTCCTGTGGCACTACAGGCTGCGCACGCTTCAACCAAGTCTTTGACAACAGAGTATCAAATCCATCAACAATTCAATACGCAAGTGCCATGTACATTGTGTGTGTGTGTTACGCTGAAATTAGTCTGCCTAACTTGGCATGTGCAGGGCAACGGCTAATACTTAACCGCGCAAGAATGTGATCAACCAAACCTCAGCATTAGCAGGACGTAAGGTTGCCATTTCGAGTACTCGTTCCCTCTCACTGCGAGGAGGGTCCATGCAGGAGGCTGACCTTTGCAGGCAGAGGCTTCCGACTTGTCATCCCAATCAACGATGCGGGTCTTGGAGTCTGGGCAAGAACTAAGCTGGGATCATTCATCGCAGAAGCAGAAGTATCTAGACTTAGCTTCAGGTGTTTCACAAGCAACTTGCTAGCCGAGCTGCGATCGCACGCGCTGCTTCGTCTGCAAAGGCGGATGCCTGGATCATGTGGAATCTACAACGCTCCTAAGTGGTACACCCCCGAACATCATGACACGACAACTTTTCAAGCAAACCCCTTCCTCCTGCTTCTTTGCCATAGGCCTTTGGCCTTGTGCAAGCAGCTTTATCCACGTGTCAAGTCTCAAGGGCTGCTTCAAATATCGTGAGTTGCACAGAGTGAGGCGTCCTCAGCTTCAAGACACCCCCCCTCAGAGGCTGACTGATGTCTGAGTGCGACCTGAAGACTCCGCCAATTGACCAGGGTGCATCTCAAAACCCGTCGTCGCACGTCTTGTCGGTGATACTTCAGAGCAAGAACTTGAGGAAGTGTGGTGAGAATCGGTCTCAGCTCGTGGCTCAGGTTCAGAGACTGTTCGGATGAAGCTTCGACCCTGCGGTGGATTTGCAAACGGATTCCTCTCACGGCACTTTGCCGCGATAATGCCGAACACGTGACTTAAGCTGAAACAGTGGCACTGACCCATGTCATGCGCCCCTGGCGTCTCGATACGAATGGCCTCCCCGAAGTCTGCAGGGGCAGTCCAGTTTGCAGCACTTGCCTGGGTCAAGGGCCTGCCCAAGGAGCACCCATGCAAAGGATGTGAGCAACTGAACGAGAGCAGACACCAGCCTGTCAAGCAAGTTCGCTGCCACGCCCATGGGCGCTCGCACGATCGGGTACCTGCAAATCGGGAGACAAAACAACAAAGACAACTTGCTCTCCAGGCTTTCAGAAGTTCAGTCTTGGCCAATCTTCGGGCCTGCTGTTCTTGTTCATGCAAGTGTGCAATCGGTCACTAGATGGGTTCAAGCATATTTGTTGAAGCTCGGGCAACTGCGCGTGGCCCACAAGAGGGAGATGAGGAGCATTCTTCAAGCTTTCTGACCGCAAGACGATTCGGCACAAGGTGCCGCGTTGGCCACGCGTACGAGCTGATGCGCCGGGAATAATAAGTCGCCAGTACATCTCTCGGCATGACGACGCTTAGGCGGCTCAAAGTCAGGCGTGAGGGAGGTTGTATCCAGCGTGTGCACAAGCTTTCCCAGAAATTCGATGATCTTCATGGTTGGTGCTTTATCTGTGACGGTGCAGAAGCACAAATACCCTGTTCCGAGACAATGCAGATCGCGATGTATCGCGATGTATCGAAGCCTAAAAAATCTTCCCCCTACCCGGTACGGACCAGAAAGCGACTGGATGTCGCTGCTCGTACCAGGAGCAGGTTGGATCTGGTCCGTTTCATGAGTGGAGCCGGATTGCTTTTATGGACAGTTCTCCTGCGACTGCATCAGCGTTCTGATGCTAGGTTCGTGAGTCCCCTCGCTTGTCCTTGTGTGCTGAAACAAGGATTTCACATTACTCGGCAAGCTAGTGTAGCTCCAAATCGCCAGTGTCTACGCCTAAAAATGAAGGACATACGCTCTCTCTCTCGTTCTCTCCTTCACCGGCTTGCGCACACACCCTCGCTCTGATGAACATCTCCTGGCTGCGTGGAGTAGACGCGGCTCGGCCTTTGATACATAATGGCACCCAACAAACACAAGCAGACAACTTTCTCTTGGGTCGAGAACTGCATAAGGGGCAGGCTGCAAGATGGCATTCGAGTGAACAACCCGACCAGATGCCTGCGCGAAACATTCTGGCTGCAGGTGACAAGCATCTGACATCACTACAGTGTGGAGCAGCTTCCCGTGGAAAAGTCTGCAAATGGAAGCCACCTGCGGCATCTCCTGCCACAGACCGAGAGATCAGCAAAGCATGATGCCTGCCGATCCCGATATGCCGTGCAACAAGCCACATTCAGCAGCAGATAAAGAGCATGTGTTCCATGCCGAGGTGAAGGTGTTGGTTCATGAGCAACGAACAGGCCCCGCAAGGCTTTGGGCCCGCGTCCTTGAACTCGTCCTTTGTTTGCGGCGATGGCACCCTGCGGAAGCCCACTACCTCATGCTGCCAAGATTGTGCCAAAAGGGACCCCGCCGCCGTCACGCATTATCTGGGATTCTGTGGCCAAGGGTTCCTGTAGTTTCATTGCAGTTCCTAGTTTTACCGGAGTGTGTGGAGGTCTCGAGCGGCCTTCGATCCCGGCGGCAGCCCTGCGGGCACTTGGTAGTTTGGGTCTGTCGGAGCCGCCTGAGCACAGACAGCACACACAAAACAAACACCACACATACACATACACACGCACTCACACACAAGACACAAGACGCAAGACACATCCACCCGACCTCCGGCAGCGAACTCTTCTGATCTGCCAGCCTTAAGCGAGTGCTGCAGTTGTGATAAGTGGGTACCCTTCATGATACACATTGTCTCTTTCATCTCCCTTCTGTGCTGGACCTCGAACACCCGAGGTTGCGGCGCAGGACCGGGCGGACCACAAGGACCGGGATAGGGACCCAGGGTGCCTGGGGTTCACTGAAAGGCCGTGTCAGCCTGATCCGGTGCTTTCCGTTGTACATCTCTACAAAAAATCGAGGACTTGATTGGAATTGAGTTAAGGTATGAAAAGGCAGAGGGAAGCAACCGGCAACAGGTACCTTGGTTGATTGCGTTTTGAGCACTGCTTTGGGGTTTTAGGGTTATCCCAGCGTGTCAGGTTGGGCGCTTCGGGATACCTGCCACCATGCATCCGGAGTCGCTCTCGGGCCATGGCCAAGTTTCATCGCCAACGTCTGCATCTGCACTGCCTAGGACCCGAAGGAGCGTTGCAAGGATAGATTCGATTTGGGGGGTTTACGAACACGGGGGACCCCTGAAATAGACCCCCAAAAGAGTAGGATTCCCTGAAAAATAAGGACCCCGATAAAGGTACCCTCATTTCGGAAGCCACCATTTGAGCAGATTGAGCAACTGGAGCAAGCCCAGGGCGCTGGCCTTCTCAGAATGAGAAAAGGGCGTGGCTGGCTGCCCGCTGGAACTCCACTCGGACCTTTGCTTTCTGGGGCCCAAAGAGTAAAGACAATGCGAGCAAGCAATCCAGCCCTCGAGCGTGGTACATGATGGTACTCTGGGCTGCTGGCACGCGGTACCCCTTCAGGACGCGCGCCTTCAAGAAGTCTACAGAGTCTCGTGTCGGCAACAGATGGTATTGAAGCGAACTGTGTCAAACAAAGCCCAGACATCGATCCAACCAGAAAAAGCTGTGTTCACCCAGGGTGCAAGCTACCCCCTGCTGTCGCCTCCACATCTGCAGCAATCTCCTCTGTGCTTTGCAGGGAGCGCTGGTGTTCGGCCCGCAACCTGCGCAGTAGCTTCATCGTCATGCTGTTTCAAGAGTGTATGGCCAGCCTCGGGATGGGTAGGATAGTGACTAAGCAGCAGATTCTCCGGACATGTTGCTTTACAGGCATGTCTGCCTCTCCGCAAGAAGGGTTGAACACCACAGCATAGCATGCACAACCCACCCAGTGCCTCTCAGCCACAGCGAGCCAGTACTGCCTGCTAACTGCACTGTGAAACTCACACGTGGCAGTGGACAACCGTTGAACACAACAGGAGAGAAGGGCACGGCTTCATTTGCCCGAGATGCAGGAGTACTTCACTTTGCGACCATGCGGCAGCTCGGCATCACGTCTCTTCACCTCTGCCACAAGCTGCGCCTCGGCAGAGGAGAAGTGCGGTTCATCTTTCGAGTCGGCACCGCGATGAACTCAACAAAACATGTACACTCGTGTACCCTGCCCCAAGTCCTTGCAGAAACCTTTTCCAACCTTCACCGCCCCCTGCCTTCTTCAGGGCCCATGCGTCCTTTGGGGCCCCAGCCTGGTGAGGAGCTAGCATTCTGGGGTTGGGGTTCATACTTTGATCATGGCTGCCCAAACTACAGAATGATGCTAGGCTGCTAGATCAATTCTGGCACGAAGAGGCTCAACACTTCTGCCCCAGTCCTGCCTGAATGCCTTTACAGGCCTTCACCTATGCCCTTGCCCCGATAGGCTGGTAGGAATACGAAAGTACCTCCGCTGTTGCGAGCCTGCTTTATCGCCCACCGATAACCATCCTTCAGGGAAACAGACACAAGCGCAGAGCATGAGGGAGCAAGGCTTAGGATCTTCAGAGGATGTGCCTAAGGCTCCGTGGTCTTGGAACTTCTGCAAACACCCGTGTTACGGCCCGAGCCTTCGTCTCGAGCAGTGAAATCCACCCGCTCGGATTGTCGATCTTCGCCCTGACCTGAGGCTCGATGGACATTGATCCTTCGCATGACGACTCAAAAAGTGTGGGGCTAAGCCAAGGCCGCGGTGGCAAACGCGGCAAAGGACCGCAAGAAGGTTCCGACACCAAAAGAAACAGTCAGCTTAGTCCAACAATTGGGGCCCACAAGTAGGCTCACTCTTCTATCAGAATTCCAGTGATGGCGCCAGAATTATGTCCTTGCAGGAGCTAAGCTCCGGATGATACCGGGCTCCGATTGCAGATACACAAAACGTCCACACCGGCCATGACTGCATTGCAGGCACCAAGCGCATGTGGGTACGAGCGGAGTCTGCTGCGACGAACTCCAGGCAACATCTGCCGGAAATCCATGCACAGTACTTACTGCGAGCTCGCGGCACAGAATACATCTGCATGGGAGGGAATGCAGCTGTGCTGCTTTTTGACCCCCGAGCCCCAGTCGGGGTCCCGGCTCTGTCGACGTGCGGCATTGGCAGGACCTTCGCGGCAACTCAGCAACCACAGCTCAACTTGCAAAGAGCTTGGCGCAGTGGCCAAGAAAAGTATTTCTGAACTTCTTTATGTTTGGGCATCGATCTAGTGGCTTCCAAAGCCTGATCAGACCCTGTCGAGGATGGATACGTTCGAAGTAGTGAGCACCCCGAAAGGGAGTGATGGTGGTAAAGAGATCCTCAACCCTGATCGCAAGACCTCAAGCCCCAAGGGCCCTTCCTGCAAGTCTGACTGTGACCAGGGGCCAAGTCGGTGGAAAACTTTGGGGCTGAGTCTGACTGCTGAGCCACGTGGCCTCTAGGACATGGACAACCTCGCCAGCCGCCAGCTGCGCGACCTCCGATCCAGTTCGTTGCCAAGTCTGGAGCCTCCCAAGTCTGGAGCTGCGTACAGCTGGGCTTCCGGGCCACTGGCGAATCCAAAGACCTGGCTTGCTGCACATCAATCACAGTCAACCTCCCCACATCTAGAATGTCTCGCCAGCATTTGCCATCTGAGCTCTAGACGAGCTCGATCTCACAGCTGCATTGTTATGGACAATGAGGTAGTACCCAGGCAGATCTTCCTTTCAGTCAAAGGCAGGCTATGGATATGGCTGTGACTGCCATGTGGAGGTGCGATAGGATGCGACCTGTCCCTCCGAGTCTCTTCCTTGCTGGCCGACTTCTCACCACAATCATCTCTCGGTGTCAGTGGCGCGTATTACGTTTAGGCACCTGATGACAGGATCCACAGTGGATCCACATCCCTTCAAGCTGACAGCGTTATCAGATATTTGCCAGATTCATCTTGCCCCTTTGGATTTTGGAACCTTCCTGAAACTCAACTTCACATCCCCAACCTACTGGTGCCTCGAAGTCGACCGCAGCCTTCGACGGCGACCGCGGCGACGCTGACCGCGGCGAGGCTGACCGCAGCGAGGCCGACCGCAGTGAGGCCATGGCAGAAAGGGTCCCCCAGCTCGGAGGACAGGAACCACGAGTTTCAAGGCTTTGACATGGCTTATGGCAGGCTTAGCCGTCTCTTCAAGTCCGCTTCTGAGCTACGCGGCGCTGCGCTGCGCTGCGCTACCGGTAGCGGTAGCGTGTGTGTCTGTACTGCTCAGGAGGCCAGGAGACTGCTCGATCCCAGAAGAGAAGGTTGGCATGGGACGGCTCACGAGCAACTCTTGCAAGATCACATGAAGCAAAGGCATTTTTGGCCGGGGTACCGGATGGCGCCCAGCCTGCGACCTCTCTGCAGCCTCTGAACAAGCCACTCCACGATGTTGAATCGCAGCCTTCGTGGTGAGTTGAATCGGTCGCCCCTCACCTTCTTCGTCTCATCTCCAAGTGGATTATGTTGGCGTGATCTTCGACGCTGCAGCTGGCTGGGTGTCATCGAAAACACCACTTGTGCCTACGATCAAGAACTCGCCATCACATAGTCACAAGCTTCGCAGCCACCAGGGCTGCACTAAGCAGCACGGCCACAGTCACCTCATCTTGCAACGTACCAATCGCAAGGAAGAACCGTCCGAAAGCATGGAAAAGCTCTCTGGGCCTTGGACAATGCCCGAAACCACCGAACGGCGGTTGGGGAACATCTCCTGGAGTTTGAGGACCAGGGATGTGCCACAGTAAGAGGCCGCCAGGTTGCACACCTTGGACTGCAACCGAAGGTTGCCTGGATTTTGATGCACATCCTTTTGGGAGGCTTGGGCCTTCTGGGAAGGCTTCGGTGGGTTGCATATTCGGAGCCAAGCGACCCCATAGAAAAGAGCCAGTGACATGATAATTCGCCCTGTGAGCAGATACTGAAAGGTAGTGGAGGCCGACGTAAAGATGACACCTTCGATCGGGCACCCAAACGTGCACAGGAAAACCTAGGGAGGCTGGGAAGGAGAAACTCGATGTTCCATGAGCTTCGCAGCCGAAGGTGCATGTCGAGGAAGTAGCGACGGCCACTGACGGATCCACGCCCATCAAGAGGAAGAAGGGGCTGAAGATGAGCCCACCTGCCAGTGTGTTTGCTGCCTTCACTCACAGATCGTGTGGTGCTCATCGTCCCGGCCTCCGATACCCACCAGGCCAGCAAAACCTTAAGATTCATCTAGAAAGCATGCAGCAACTCTCTGTGAAAGAAGGACCAAACACATGTGCTAAGCCAGGCGGCAACCAGTAAATGCCGCCATAAGCGCATACTTCACAACCTACAAAGGCCAGACGCTGCTACAAGCATCCAACTCATGGTCAGCGGCGCATGAACCAATAACTGTGTCAGCCACATCCTCACGAAGCAGACACTCCTCCCCGATGCACATGTAACCTCAGCATCACAGACAAAAGTCGCGAGGGAAAAACTCTATGCCGTGAACTTTCTTGCATGATCAGAGAGTTCCTCACTATGTTCACAGAAACTCGGCAAGTTCCTTAAGGTCTCTATCTACAGGCCGAAGATGGTTTGTCTGCCATCTGTTGACATGTTGGGCAGGGCCTTATTCTTTCGGTGCGGTAGTTCTTCGTTTGCCTCTTTCTTTCTGACTGTGTTATACTGTGTTGATGTTTTGCTGCCCATCTTATCTCACTTCTGTTGTTTGCTTCACGTCGTTCCTCTCGGAGTGTCAATGCGCATGGCTATTTGCTGATCGTTCTTTCTGTTGACCTGGTGTTGATGATTTCTGTCCAGCCTTTCTGGCTGTTGCTCCTGCTTTCTCTCCGTCTACTTCAATTTCACTGTGTCCATCGTTCTCTTGGTTCTCCCTCTCCTCGTTCCTTCCTGTCCATAGAAAAGGACTTCCCTTTCGTTTGGTTCTCACTATGCAAAAGATGATGTGAAGGCTGCAGCAATCCATCATGCTTCCAGGTTGCTGCTGTACACTGTTGCCGCAGCACAAACCTTGGCTGTGCCAGCCTTCTGCACCGGGGATGCGTCTGAGATCATGCCAACTCTGCTGCCCAAGAGGCAGAAATGGGAAGGAGTATCAGCAACTTCTGGATCAGTGCAGGGTGGGCGAGCTGGCTTCCCCAGCCTCAAGACGTCGTCTAACAAAAACAGTGATTGGCCTCTGTCCTCAACACCTTCGGTATGCTTTTGCTGGGGTACAGGCTGTGCATGTGGAACCTTGCAGCGCCACATGCAACCACCAGCGCAAGCATGGCTAGTCCTACAAAAGGCACAAATCGGAGAAGCAAAGGTTCTGACTGTATCAAGGACACGTGAACGACCACATGAAAACTACGCATGAACCCCACATGTTTACCACGCAACTCAACTTTATCATCTTTATCTTCTTTATCATCTTTATCATCTTTACCATCTTTATCATCTTTATCATCTGTATCATCTTTATCATTGTTATCATCTTTATCATCGTTATCATCGTTATCATCTTCGTCTCATCTTTGTCATCCTTCGGTTGTCTTTCGCAGAACCCGTCCGGGCCTCCAAAGACATCTCGCTTCTGCCAAGGGCTCCCTGCTGAAACTGCCGCGTAAGCGCTCGTCTTCTCCTTGTCAGCTGCGGTCGTGTTCCTGGGCGCCACATGCTTCCAAGCGGGGCGGTTCCAGATGCCAGCAGTGAAAAATTGAGCCGGGCCCAGCTGGCACATCAGCGAAACAAGCGAAGGCTCCCCAGGCCTCCCCCACTCGGCCACAGCTTGTCGCCAGGTCGTCCGGACCGACCTCACAAACTTGGAAGTGCCATGAAACTGCCATTGCAAGAAGCAGTAGCAAGTAGCACTGGGCAGTAATATTTTGCCATTGAGCGACAGGCCCAATGACATGAAAAAAAGCAACCCTGTTCAGCCTGTTCAGATCTCTAAGGTTCAGACGTATAGGTCATGAAGCTGAGGATTCCCATCAACAGCAGCAGGATGGGCCTGTCCCCCGCGGTGTGGTTGATCCTCGGATCATTGGAAACAACCCTCTCAACGTACACCCTGAGCCGCACCCTGAGGCTGGCACAGGACGCCGAAGAGAGTACCCACTAAGGCAGAGGGCACCACTACACGGCAGATGCCTAAGACTTGCGAGGGATGGAGAGGTTCGACATAATGCAATGGTGTCCAGAGAACTCAAAGGCCGCTGCCGTAGTGAATGACCTTCGTCTTCGTTTTGGCTCTGCGCATGTTGAGCACCAGGGAGGCCAATGAGCCGAAGAAAACCTGTGTCTGAACCCACTAGAATCACTAGAATGCGCACGGCTGCTGCTGTTTCGCAGTTGCTACTGAACTCGAGTGCCACACACGGCCCGGACACCAAAACATGCTATGCGTACAACAATTCCAAGAAAACGATTCGCCCCAGTAGCAATTCCTTTGGAGAGCGGCACTGCATCCCGGGTGCTGAGGCCGCCCAGTACCATCAGCAAAGACACATAGATACCTCCTGACATGCTGTTGGGAAATGGGGGAAGCCTGCCCCCCCTTAAAGCTCATCAACCCTCCCCCCCCCCTCCTATAAGAAAAGCAGCTCCGATATCGAAAGGAAGGAGTGTTCAGGGATTAAGGACCAGGTCTGGGTGTTGCGTGGCATCGCAAGCCCCCGCGTGCCTCCACCGATGCCGGCCGCCGAGCAGAGCACGCCAGAGGCAAAGAGCACCCCAGCACACAACAGCGCTTGTGGGCCCAGCTGCGACCAGTCCTGGGCTCAGAGAGGGGAGCACCCTGCTCGAGACATGCATTCTCGATGAGGTGCGCCTTGAGCATGCTCGGCAAAACGCCGACATCTGAAGATATTGAGTGCTAGGAAAAGAAACAGAAGAATGCCTCAGAGGCCCCGAAGTCCGAGCGGCGAAAACCCAGAAAGGATAGACCCCTGGGGAGCTGAATCGTGAAAGGCCGTGGGTGGTGGGCGATTTCGGCAGCACTCCCAGAGAGTCACGGCGCAGCTGGCCAGTGAAGGGTGGATGCCTGGCACGCACAGCTTGGTCTACGATATTGTCTTCACCACAGGATGTCACACATTATTGTTCTTGTTGTTTTTACTACTGTTACTATGTTATCGTTACTATTATATTTATCAGGTTTAACCCATGAACTTGATGCTGCGAAGTGCCTTGAAGGTGCTGGGACCACAAAGCTCGTGGCCAGCCCGAGCACAAGAAGAGCGAAGCAGATTACCACAGGCCTCACAACATGCCACTAGAGGCCACTAAAAATGTAATTCGAGCACGAGCCATAGTGGGACCTCGGAGACTGAGGTCCGACAAGCAGCCTTGTTGTGCGCCGCGTTCGCCGTAGTCGAAGGAAAAGCGCAGACATGGAAAAGACCAGCTGGCGCCTGAGAAACGACACCCTGTTCTCGCACCACGTGGTGTCCAAATTCTGGTTGAAATCGGCAGTCGAGCCCCAAGATGTAAAGCACGCGAGCAACACAATAGGCGCAACTCCAACCATTTATAACATGCCGGCTCTTAGTTCATTCGACCAGCCTTCGTTGCCAATCACCACAGCTTCTGCGCTGCTGCTGTCGAAGTTGATGCCTACATTGGCTCGTCATCGCTACTCGAGCGCCCGTATCAAGCTTGCGTGAAAGAAGAAAGAATGTGCGAAACATCCATTGATTGCCATCTGGCGGCCTTCACCATGGCAGAATCGGGCAGGGCAGGTTAGGCCCGTGCCTTAAAAGATTGCTACAAATACCGGGCCAGTCACACCAGTGCATTCATTGTTCAGTTCAGACTTGCTGTGCACAAGTCCCATTTTCAGTGAATGCGACTCAATGACTACACATACACTCTGCGGAGAGCCATGGGAGTCAGGCAAGACGTGCTGTCTCTTCAACAAGTCAAGAAAAAACAAAAAAAAAAAAACGCGGCAAGCACCAACAAGCATGTCATGTGACCCCCCACAGCACTCCCAAGCAGTAAGCTCTCAAGTCCGTTGTTTTTTTTTTTTTTCCGTTTTCCGCTGCGCCTTGTCCCCTTCCCGACTCCACTCTTCCAACTTGCGCGATCCTGGCAAGACACATCACGCCAAATCCAATACTTCCCAGGTGGCAAAAGGGGGTTTACGATAACAAGGGACCCCCTCATATAGACCCCCAAATAGCACCGATCCCCTTCTAATAAGGACCCCAAGAAGGCGCCCCGAACATCGTAGAATCCCCCCCAAGGGAGCATGGAGCCAATCAACTGCAAGGCAGGGGCCTCCATTTCCTCACTCTTGGCCGGGCCTCAGAGCTGAGCTGGACACTGCCAGGGTTTAGGATTTGGGGCATAGGGTTTGGGGTTTAGGGTTTAAGGTCTAGGGTTTGGGGTTTAGGGGGTTAGGTTTGCACACGATGTTATTACTAAATACTATCTCTGAATATTACATGATGAATGTTGAATGTTCATGCATGGAGGCAAAATGAAAGTTAATACTACAAGATACTCACTAGAATATTCCATATGAGCTTGAAACCGCAGATACTACATAGCAAACATTACGCATTAAATGTTCAACAGATTAATACAAAGCATACAAAATGTCATGCAAAATGCGAAATATTGTTTAGAACTGGTGCTACATGCCAACTGTCAAGCATTCAACATGAAACTATGTATATGCATTTTGCAATATTTCTATTGGATGCAAATAGTCGGAAATCGAGAAACTGAATGTTAAATAGGAATGTTAGACATAGCTATGAACAAGTTTATCATGATATACCATGATACAATTACAACATCTTTGTTTACACTGATTTCTGCATGTACCACACATGAATAAATAAATATATATATATATATAGTATGCTAAATATCAAAGAAAAATTGTCTGGTGGTATAGACATGTTTGCATTTGTATTTCAGATACTGCATACTATGTTATATCGTTATGAAGTATCGTGCCATACATCGCAAATACGTAGTACGTATTCTATACCCTAAATGAAATAATGAAATCCTGTACTCAAACATACATACGTAAAAAAGAATATATACACAATGAGGCTATTTTCACAATCCCCCTTGGGGAGTCTGTATATGGCTTAGAAATATTGTAGTTTCATGAACAAAATTCATGTACTTGCTCCGCCCGGTTGTTCATATTCATTTGAAGCTGAACAATGTGAACCATTAAAATTTGGGGAACCGGGCTATATTTCAGAGTCGAGTTCAACGTCATCCATACGAGGGTACTCCTGAGGACGAGACAAGGAACGGATGATGTCAGAGTCGCCAGGGTCCGTGATGGACAGGCAGCTCACTCGGTAATACCTGCAGATGTCACCCAAAGCAACACAGTAAAGCCGAGAGCAACCCGGGGAAGCTTTTTCATTGAAGGCCCGACCGACCACAAGCCGTGCCGAGCTCGTTGTTGTCACCGTGAAAGTGGTGGACTGGGCAGCGGTCAAGAGAGGGGGGTCAAAAAAACTCAGCTGCCCGCATGTTTGAGCTCCGTCAGGTCGACGAATTGCTTCCCAACGAATTCCTTCAATCCCCAAGCATGTCCAACCTCCCGTCTTGGCCAGCATGGCATAGTACTCGATCTCACTCTTCCTGCCAGACGCAATGTGGCAGCTGTTGCAAAGGAGGCAAACAGACAATTCCCTGGATGCTAGGCAGATCAAAACAAGGAAAGGCCTCCAAATTCTACCAACAAAGATTTCCCGCAAGTCACGAATGGATCCAAGAGTTAGACATATTATGAGGCAAGCAACACTTAAATTGGGTGCGAAACGTGCACCAAAACGCAACCTCAAAGACACAACCAAGTTCACGGCAGAAACATCAATGTGTAGAACTGCACATTGGAAACTGCTAGTGCTGAGCATTCAGGCGTGGTGCATGCTGCATCTGACACGTACATTACGTAAGTCCTAAGCTCGCAGAGCAGGGCCTCAGGGCTGGGCAATTGTTCGAGATCAGAACCAGCTTCGACTGGCAACCAGATTCTTGGATTTTGAAGACATTCTTCCGCTTCGGACAGTGGCTCATGTGGTCGCAGATTGTGTTCCCTCCAACCCCATCCCAATATCAGGTGACCCTCAATGAGGAGCCAAAAGGGGAAGAGTCAGGATCCTATCATTGCAGCAATCTCTGTCGGATGTTGCAAGCACGCTGGTCCACTGCTGAATCACTACTGCATGCCGCACCTTTCCCTGGCGAAGAGTCTTGAGAGTTGTCTTATACCTTCGTGCGCTGAACGCCACGCTCTACACTTGGCAGGCTCTCTCCGCCAGACAGCTGCTGCCACAACGGATTCCAGCAGATTACGAAACGGTCTTAGCTGTCTGACTTACAAGGACTGTGAAACACAGAACCCTCATTCTGAGCTTGCTGCCCCAAGCTGTACTTGCCGCTCTTCATGACCAGTTGCAGACGCGCGTTGATGGAGTCTACACTCTTGGAAGCCTGTCGTCTGTACATGCTCCCTATTTCTCCTAGGTCTCGGCCTGCCACACCCCCGTCTTTCGGCTCTCTTCTAGGGGCATTGGTGGGCATTGCACATCACTCCGACCCTTTGCCCTCCTTGGACTGCTTCTTCGTCGACATGGCTGGGCCGAGTGGGGGGCTTTGAAGGCGCTGGGCGTTTCCCTTGGGCCAAGCATATAGCCAGGGTTCTGCCACAATCAGATCGGAATCAGGCCAGGCCAGAAATGGAGCTACGCAGGGACGAGCATTCGGGTTTTGCAGGGCCTGCTGAGCCCTCACTGAAGCAGAGTTTAGGGTTGTCAGTCGACAACGAGATCTTGCAGATCTTCCCCGCTCGGCTTCAGAATTCACCACTGTAGCACTCCTACTTTCTCGTGCTGTAACAGACGGTGAAGCGGACAAGAAGCTGTTGCCGACGAGACGGTCATTCATGCTAGACTGTAAAACTGTAAGGCACGTGACACTCCTGTCACCAGTCATGGTTACTTGTGCCTTGCTTTCAGGCCTACCACAATTCAGGGTCGACCCGACTTGGCGCATCCTGTCCAGCGTGTTTGTCGATTTTCACATGCAGCCCTGGAGCATGTGCCTTGTTTGCACCTGTGCATGCATATTGTAAGCTGTTGCACTTGCTGTGCTGGAGCGCACGAAGGCGAGCCAGGCTTCAGGATTTCAAGGCGTTAATTAGGCCGTATAAACTTGAAGTTAAACCCGGAACCCCAAAAACGCTCCCAAGCATGTGGCCTCATGGCACACCCTTTTTTTGACAGATCCCAGGATTTAGTGACCCCAGCTTTGGTTTGCAGGGTCTAGGGCTTTGGGGACATACGCATCAGCCTCAAACGCACAGCTGCTACACCCCCCACACTCGAGCGCGCGCACTGTTGATTGCATTCTTGTTCAAGGGCATATTATTGATTCTTCATCAAAGTGGCGCACTTGCTCCCGGGCCTCCTTGCAATCCACCACAACCCAGGAGGCTGCGGGTTGCTTCATGACACTTACGCGGAGCTGTCGAGATCGTTTTGCCCTTGTGGTCTCAGATTGCCGCAAAGCCAGGTCTCCATCTGGGTGTCTACATGGGAAAGCGTCTTCAAGATAGCCATGCGATAGCTATGCGAAGCCGGAGGTTCATCTCAAGAGCTCCGCCAACCCACAGCCCAGACTTCACCACGACTACAAAGGTATCAGCTGTGCAGCCCGGGGTTTCCGAAGTTAGGGGGTACTCCTTATTCTAAGGGGATTCTACTATTTGGGGGTATATATATATATATGTACATTAGTCCCTTATTCTCGTAAACCCCCATACGTGTCTCAACTTTTTCTGTCGCCCTGCCACACCTCGAGAAGGTGAGACAAGCACTGCGGAAGGGCTGCAATCAAGGGCCGGTGATGCATGATGCCAAGGTTCCTAAGCCCTCCCTGTTTTTGTTTCAGCTTTCTATATTAAGTATATAAAATGAGCTGTACTAACTATATTCATTCCATGGATAAAAAGAGATATAGTAACGATTCATAATAGCATCCGAATCTGCCAAGGCCAGCTGCAGCTCGTGGACTACACTCGTCTCAGAAGTCATCATCGTCGTCGCCCAGCATGAAATCCAAAGTACCCCCCGCTGTCTGTTCGCTCTTCATACCAGGGGCAGCGTCTTCCTGACGGGATTCAGAAGTACAGCGATTGTCACTGCGCGGCGAGCCTTCGCTGTGAATACTTCGGTTTCCCATGACCCAAGACTCAGCGGGGTAAGCTCAGATTGAGCCAGATGACATCAACAACAAGGCAGGCCTTGTGCTACCCTAGGAATCTGGTACTTTCATAAGCTTGTTCGGTCCTTCATGACATCTTCCAAATTGACGTCCATTTGCTGCCTGAGCAAGGCGTCAACACAAATCTGCATGTGCAATGAGTTGCGAAGAGAGGCCCTCACCCTAAACCCTAAACCCTAAACCCTTAACCCTTAACCCTAAACCCTAAACCGGGTTGGAACTGACCTCCAAGACATGACGGAATCATGAAAACATGTGCAACATAAGCTTCAGCATGCCGCGCCGCTGAGGCAGCGACTTCGCTTTCCGAGACCTTTCGAAGTACACCTTCGCCACTTCCTTTGAATTCACCAAGGCTTCTCAACTCAATCAAGACATGGTACTACAATGGTCTAACAACAAGCATAATATGAATGAACCCCTCGAAATAAGAAAACAAATGGAGCCCGGGGAAAGTTCACCGTCAACGAGTCAACCGCCCAGTGAGAACATGAGTGTCATGAGTGAACAAATGCACGGTTCCAAAGTAGCAGATGGACTGGTTGACAAAAGACCCAGCGAATGAGAGAAAGGAAGCACAAGAACTATTGACCAAAAGGTGAAGTGAATGCACATCCAAATAATAGGAAGATCCCAAGGGAAAATCGCTTAATCTTTCATTAGGATCACCAAGAAAGACCAACAGAGAGGAAGTGAAGGGAGAAAGAAGTGTAAGAAAGAGAGTAATAAGATGAAGATAAAAAGGAGAACGTAGTCAGCCGCCTTAATATTCTCTTCGTACGTCCACAAACTCCGAATTAAATATACTAATATTGGGGTTTTTGTGCACACCTTAAGCACTAATGAACTCGCCCGTATCTTTCTATTAACCCGGGGGGCTTGTTGTATTCTAACGTGTGCCCGGGGAAATAACACTATAATTAGAATATCCTAGAGCCCCCAATACAAGATGATTCAAGAGGGTCATTCACTACGTTCATTCATAAACTCCTTCACTCTGTTCAATTGAATAAAAGCATGAATGAAATGAATGCGTGTGAAAGAGTACTATTAAAAGGGCCATTTATTACTCTATTATTCTTATAATATTTATGGCCCGCTTAACCGTATCTTTTCTATCACTAGTTAAAAATTATAATCATAAAGGCTTAGCAGGTGATTATCTATTATCTGGATTCATCGTTGGAATCTCCGAAACATTAATATCAGTCCTTATAAGAATAGGATTGATGTTCATCAGGAAATAGGACTATATCTCCAGAAAACCAGAACTTCTACAATATAAGCATGACATTGCATGGCTCTTCTTTTTAGTATTTCCTGGCTTGCTTGGAGGATCTGGAAATCATTTTGTACCTATCTTTCAAGGGTCTCCAGAAGTGGTATATGCTAGGGTCAATTATTTTTCTATCTGAATTCTTTTACTTTCTATCTTTTCCTAATCCTTTCCATAATCTCAGAATTTGGAGGTGGTACAGGATGAACATTTTTCCAGTATCCACTTCGTTTATGATTTTATCACCTTCAAGTACAGGAAATATTATATTTGGATTATTAATCTCTGGTATATCTTCATGTCTTACATCTCTTAACTTTTGGACAACAACTCTAAATCTGGGATCTTATTGTCTGACATTCTAGACTATCCCATTATTTCCTTGGGCTTTCTTGATTACAGCTTTCAAGCTTTTCTTAACATTACCAACCTTATCTGGTACACTTCTTTTACTATTGGGTGATCTTCATTCTAATACACTTTTCTTTGATCCTATATTTGGAGGAGATCCTTTATTCTATCAACATCAATTTTTTTGGACATCCAGAAGTTTACATCTTAATAACTAATTCCTGCATTAGGGATCATTTCCACAATATTTTCTGGGATTTCTAAATTAAGAGTCTTTGGTAACCAATCAATGATCTTTGCCATGTCATCTATTTCTCTTCTCGGAAGTTTTGTTTGGGGGCATCATATGTATACTGCAAGTTTAGAAAGTGATACAAGAGCTTATTTTACAGTGCTGCAAAGCTGTGCAAAAAGGTTCGAAAGAGGATCCCTGCGGCGCAAGGACACAAGCTGTGCTTTCGCATCTGTTGGCGAGACGTGTTACGATGTGCGGGACATCAGCTATTTCAGCTGGGGCAAAGACCTCTGCTTCATCGAAGACCTGACATCTTTTTGGCGCGTTCTTCCGTGAGGCCCAGCACAACCGAAGGCTCAGAGCAGACCCCGACACTGAACTTCACTGAACTCTGCAAGGTTGGAGAGCACAACCCTGTAATTACTCATTGAGTCATGGAGTTGTAAACCCACAACCCCCGCTTCAGTTTCGAGGACTGCCCTTGTGCCTTTTGCTTGTTCAGCAGGATGGCACCCGGTCTTCGCTCCAAGGCGCGCGTGCAGAACCTTGCAGTGAGACTGAGACTGTGCTAGGGTTTAGGGTTTAGGGTTTAGGGTTTAGGGTTTAGGGTTTAAAGGTATAAGGTTTAGGGTTTAGGGTTTAGGGTTTTAGGGTTTTAGGGTTTAGGGTTTAGGGTTTAGGGTTTAGGGTTTAGGGTTTAGGGTTTAGGGTTTAGGGTTTAGGGTTTAGGGTTTAGGGTTTAGGGTTTCAAGATGCAGGTTTGCACAACCTGCGCGGCCTGATTTCGCCAGCCTCCGGGCTTGAGTCCATGGTGTACACCTGGGCACATCCATGTAGAATTGTATAGGAGGCTCCTTGTCGATCTTGTGAAATTCCTATGTTCTTCTCTCTGATGGCTGTGGAGTCCCACAACTGGCTAGATGTGGAGCAGCCTTCAGACTCTGAGCACCTTTCTTTAATCATCTCATCGAGCACAAAGATATTCTCGATCTCAAAGCGAGGGTTGCCAGAGATGTCGACCTCCACATGCCCGTGATGCCGTGGTGAGGGCAAAAATGTGACTTCCCTCGGCGGCGGTACAATTCAACCCTTCTGTGCCCTGTTGAAGGCCCACAAAGCCCATCCCATTAGCATGCGAGCAAAAGGTCATGTTCTTGGCAAGAAGTAGTGGAAGGAGGAACAGGGATCGACATTTGCAGATGGTGTCTAGCCCCTGACCGCGCATGGCATTAGAAACATCCAAGTGACATCTAATTGGTGCGAACGCATGCCGCCTTCCTCAGTGTGAAAGAGATGCCCTCAACCTCGACGTCCATGGCACCCTGAGGCATCATCTTCAACGCAGCTGTCCATGCTCTTACGCAGCAGGTCATGTTTACGCTCGCGACTCGCGTCGTATACAGATGCCGGACATTGAAAACTCGTGTCGAGATTGGGCAATAAGCATGGCATTGAAAGCCACTCCCAACTAGCAGGAGAAGAGTTTTG